AAAATGTTTGAAGCTGCTTCTATCGTTAGTTCCGTTCTTATCGATGTTATGGTACTAAGTTTTACGATAAAAAAATTGGAGTGTCCTTTGTATGCCGTTTCAAGAGGTAATCGAAGTAAGTTGCGACGTACAAAAACGTGTATAATGTTTCGCAAGGCAGGTTGGCTTTGGTCAAGTGGAAGAAACTTTAAGTGAACACAACAAAATATACTGCTATGATGTTTGCTTGAACACCTGGATTAGAAAGCTTGTGCAACGTGTTGAAGACATTGAGTTGTTAGTTTCGGCACGGTTGGACGACCCCTAACTGTAGATGCGTCACACAATAAAGTTTCCTCACCTGTTCCAATCTTTTCGAATTGTAGTTTCAGGATCATTGGAATTATTCGTGCCGAAGATCAGTGTCTTTTTCCAGAGCTGAGCGAGTTTTAAATGTTGATTGATTGGGAACTGTTAAAAAGGGTTATACGAGACAAGGTGTCTGAGTCTGAATTGTTTGCCCCAGAAATGTATCATATATTATAAGTAAACTGAGAAATTTAGTATAGTCTTCGAGACTCTCGATGGGAGCACTTGTTTAAAGCTGAGCGTAGAACGAAGGTGAGACGTTTATGGTTGGTAAACAGAGTGGATTCTTGGCCTTCTACAGAGTGTTTAAAATGCCCTACAGCACAATACATAGCTAGACGTTCTTTTTTGATAGTTCTACGCCATAACTGAATGTCTTGCAACCGCGTTTACCCATTGTTGTATGACTCTTCTGTTTGCCGAGTCGTATCTGTTTACGGCGATATCAATGGGTGGTGTGATTCTCTGGTGTGGGAGCATAATTGCCTTCGTGGAGAATGCTTGTTTCGTGTTGTCGTCCAAACTGATGAGTTTTGCATTTTCACGAAGTTGATTAGGTCTCATAAGAGACACGCAGTTCGGTATGGACTGTCGTTGAACATACCTAATTTCCTGACTGCAGTCGGTTCTGAGTAATTTAGGATGGCTGCCACTCTTCAAAGGTTGGATGTCTTTAGCATCAATAGCATATCCAACAAAATCGATTCCAATCTGACATTTCTGAACGTTTACAGTCATGCCGTGTTTTGCAGTCGTTAAACACAACAGCGTAACTTTTGTGCTATCAAAAAAAGGAGTCCAATCTCACAGCGGGGTGACAAATGAGCTGTAATCTTGATAACTGCCAATATATCACCTAGCTGAATGCCTCTTTAATGTTTTTCAATCTGACTAGAACACTAATAAAACAATTCAGACTTGAACTCTGTAGTATGGTTTCGTACTTTAAGTCTGGACCACTGAAAATACTGTATAAATTGCAGTTACAGCCAGCCTTGAGTGTTCTTCAAGAGTAAGTTGGTCAACTATGCAAATCTCTGGAAACTGTTTCTCAAGCCATAAAACTGAGAATAAAGGTGGGATTAGTGGCTTTAAAGATTCTTGTTTATTTCCGAATATTCTAATTTTTCTTACTCTCTGTCGACTGACACTGGAAGTAACAAAATACTAATCAAGGTGTTTGAATGTTCTTTCTTCAGTTATCGTGTTTCGGTTTCATCAACTCGCGCTTCAGTATAATAATTAGAAGCATCCGAATTAATTTACTAACTATGAATTCCCGAAATAGTACAATTTACAGTGAATAGAACTTGATGAGTACAAATGAAAGTAATATATTTGGAATTCATAATCACTTGGACATCAAGTACAAGGGAATCACTAATCTGTACAAATACCATGTTCAGTTATGTTCATTATCTCCGACTCCATGAACAATGACAAATAAATTGGACAGGGACTCAAATAGCAATGTGTGTGGATGAATATTTATGTAATTGGGTTAAATGAGATTACAGTAGTAATAAATATAATCAAGTTAAAAATGAAATAAATAGATACATTTGGATCGAAGTAAAAGTAGTGTTGGACTAAGATTAGAATTAGACATTGTTGTAAATGTATTGGACTTATTTCGATACTGCCAATAGAGTATCCAGAAGTTGTGTTATAGTAAAACAAATCCAGGGTAACATGTGTTCGATCTGAACTTTACTGTTTTGAAATGAGTTACGAGTCTCACTTGGTCATCGTGTTTCAAATATTCACAGATTAGCACAAGAACGTTATGTAATATACAGATGAATAAGTGAACAGGAAAACGAACAAATGTAAATTATGAGGATACGCATATGGAGTATTCGGATTAACCACTGAATATTGTATGAGTGACCTAACAGAATTGGTTGAATGCATTTTGTAGACATTTGTAGGTTAGATCATCCATTCCGAAACGAATATAGAATTATATGTATTTGACATATTTGCAATAAATGCCAGTTTTGTGGTCAGGATATCTCGCTATGTCTCCAATTTTAGCCAGCTCATTTTTGGTATCGCATTCCCTGTAACAGCCTGGTTGTTTCTAAGTGTCGTTTTTCAATCTTCAATGTGTACAGTATCATTTCTCCGTTCATCCAGTGATTAAAAGCTTCACATATAAAAATAAATTTCAAGATTAAATTTCATGCCCTTAAGTTTTCTCTTCTCAATTTTCTCATGGTTAACCTTACGCTTTGCTCTCATTTTGAATGGGTAGATCAACTTTTAATGAATAAAACCTAGCTTAGCTACTTGAAACCAACGTATAAACATTTTTCTCATTTTTTTTAAGGAAGGACCCATTATTGTAGTGAATTGTGTACGCATTGTTTAACTGTGAGTTTAAAATCTACAAGTTCATCTTTAGTGTCACTCTAAAAATACTGTGTAGTTCTTTTCAAATACTTTATAACTTTGGCAGGAAACAGGAAAAATGAAGTCTTCATTTCAAAAGTCAAATGTTCATACATATTCGTTCTTTAAACAGATGAATTGGTAAACCAGATATTCAGCAAAACAGTATGAATTAGATTTTGGAAATTGAACATGAACAACTACAGGTAATACAATGAGAAGACAAAGTTTATCATATGGTTTTGATTAACGATGTCTTTTCATTGCATTTTTTAAATATATTAAAAATATTGTAAAAACGGTCAATACAAAACCTGATCTGTAAAAAAATCTTGTTATTATTCACGTTCTTTTTAATAATTAAAATTATGCGATCGTTGTTATTGAACATAAATTGTTGTTAAATTTGGGATTGAATTAACACTGCTCATACGTTACATTAATTAACTATGAGAAAATGCACCATGTCATACATTACTTCTCGTCCCTACTCAATTCCCTGTCGTATTAACAGGTTTCTAATATACTTGTTGCATAAACTTATGGATTGTGATTGTCAACATTACATGGTTATCATACAACTTCATCTTGGATCATATTCCTCAGTTTAGAATGACCGATTATCTCTAATAATAGCAGAGTTATTTTCGGACTGATTAATCACGAAGCCACCAACAACTCACAAGTAACTGCAGTTATATATATAGTCTCTGTACCCTATCATTTCATTTTATAAGTTGAGTTTTGCATAAAATGTTTACTGATTAAGTAACTGTTAAAAGACACCACTTTTGTATTCCTTGAAATATTATTTCCCCAACACTAAGTACTTATAAACCTCGTTATACTTCTTGAATTCAGTCTTAGTAGAAATTCTGATCACTGAAATTGTTCGAATCTATTGAGTATTGTAATATTTATTTGAAATACTTCAAGATCATATAATTAAACTTGACAAAGAATCACTGATTAACAATTTAATGTTCAATAATTACATAAATCAGAACTCTGAACTGTTCAAAATTTATATGAATTAGACCATTTACTATAAAGAAGTAAACGAAAGAAATCTTTGATAGCCCTATTAATAATTTCTGAAATGAATGGATGGAAAAGTATAAGGAAATTATCAACAATATAAAATTATTTCTAATATACATGAATAGTTTATTTAATTGCTAAAAACATATGAAAAAGAGAATAAAATGAATTACATAACATACATAGACATTCATAGAAAATAGTCAATCATCAATTTGACACATAAAACAGTCAACATTGTTTTCATGAATGATTAATTCATTCACACCAGTAACTAACTATTAGACGGAATAAAAGGAAAACAAAAAGAAAATAATGAAAATGAATGATTATTTCTACAAAAAAAAAAAACCTGTAAGGTAAGTATATAAGTAGGTAAGTAAGTAAGTAAGTAAGTAGAAAGTGGATCATGTGTATGTAATTTTAATGAATGTACTTACTTATTATATAAACAAGAATTAACCATAATATTTGCAAAATTATTGAACAATCAATGAAGAATAAAGTTAAATTTATAAATAGTATTAAATTAACTTCGAATAGAAGATGGTTTACATAAATTACTTTTCTGTAATATAAGAATGCTCAAAAGATAACTGTACATAGTGAAAGAATAAATAAGCATAAAACATAATCAAATAAACTATAAATTAAAACTACATACAAATGACATGAAATTAAAATGTGTTTACTTGTTTCTTCTTATTTTGATCAACAAACTAGAAGAATATGAATACTTTAGACTATATATGCATATGAAGACAGGTAAAAGAAGAAGAAGAAGAAGAAGAAGAAGTGAAGTCATTGAGTAGGGTAGGAAAAAAAGAGTATGTGTATGTGTATGGCTGAGCTTAGTTCATTTATCATTCATTATAGAAAAGAAACAATGAATAAAAAGGTTGAATAGACTGAAATTATTTATTTTTATAAATACACTAATTTTATATTACGAAATAATTGTTGATTTTGTTTGAAATTAAAGTTTCTGTATTGAAAATTGTCATATATATATATATATATATATATATATATGTATTTAATGAAATCATTGAAGTGTATAAATTACACTGTGAAAGACAATAAACTGTTATTATTATTATTATTTTTTGTAAAACCTAGAAAAATGCATTAACTGGAGACACTATATTTATTGTAATGTGAATATCATTCTTAATGATAAATATGATTCATAACTATGAAATTGTATTCTATGGTAACTAGAAATATGTCTGTTAATTAATAATAGAGAGAAAGGAAGAGAAATACAAAATTAGCATAATTTTAAAGAAGGTTATACTTTAAGTTTTACAACAAACAATTCACAAAGTAACAGAAATGTACATCTATATTTCATTTATATATTAAAATCGAATTAAATTATTTATTAGAATAGTCAATCGATCAGTAATTGAGTTTATCTTAATCAGTTAATAATAAAATTAAAAATGTAATTGATGAATATATTTATAGGGTAACACATACCTCAACTATTAGTTCATTTATTCGACTATGATCAGAACAGTCGATGTATGAGTCAAGGGTACGTGTAACTAGATTTAAATCTTGAAAATATAAGCTGAAAATTGAGTTATTTAACTATTAAGTCAACTGTTGACTGACTAATAGGATCAAATTTACTTCAAAAACTATAATCACTTAGAATATTAGAAATCATATTAACGCAAAACTCAATGGTATAACAAAGTGAACTTAGAAATTCTTATCAAAAGATTTATTGTTGTTTGTTTTTAAGACACAGTGAGCAAATACCTAATGAAGCAACAAAATAAACCAATAGAATCATTAAAAACAGAGAAATTTCGGCGTAAAAAACTTTCTATTCAATGATATCATCTAAGAAAACTTAACAGTCATATTTATATTTATTTTTTGCTCATAGTGATCTATAATAAAATATAGAGTTTTTGCGTCATTATTAGAGATACCAAAGTCATTTAAAACTAAACACGATTTGATAAATAATTATGGAAAATGAATTTCCTGCCAGGTCCATTGACTACGAAGTTAAAATATTTAATTTCAAGAACCACTACATTGAGTTCAAAGATGATATGGTTCCAAAGATTGCAAGACACCGACTATCGAAATATTCAAAGATGAGGTTTTAGTCAGACGAGTTGAGAGTTTTACTTTTCAGCTGATTCTTGGTTTGAGAATTTATTGAGGATGAATTTCCGCTCAAGGCCACATCACTGTGCATCTTTTAGTTCACTTGCTCCTATGGAGCATATCACACTAACCATATGATGTGTTTTTTACAAACCCATATTCGAACACAGTCAAGTATGGTCATTAAACGGCAAAAACTTCAGTTAACATCCCAATTGTAGAACATCTAGTTTCTAAAGAATCCTAACAATTGCATAGAATTAGAGCATACTAAAAAGCAACTAACACCTTTTGAAATGCTTTAGTTAGCACAAAAACAAGAACTCCTCTTTCAGTCAACAAAAAACTGAGTCTACGTAGTAGGTTGTATTGCTTGTGATTCTTTCTTATTTGGAGAGTAATGGAATCCAAACTCCAGATAAATGACATCAAATTTACACAAAAACACTACCTTATAATCCAGTGGAACTTAAAAAACTCCAATTTAAATCAGCAATAGCAGGTCATGACAACTTCAATTAACATCAAATATTAATATCGATATTACAAATATCGAAATGATTCATAGACGTTTTCTTACTATAATGAAAGGCGAGTGGCTCAAGCCTTCATTACATTGTTAAATCCTACTGCCCATAATCCAAAAAAATGCCTTACCATACATCCAACTTGGATCACTTATCCAAACTACCGTAACTAATTCTATTCACATCTTACACCATTACGACGTATACAAATTTAACTTTACGTTATCAAATGACAAATATCACATTTTTACCCTGATCATAGTGACATGACATTAGTTTAATCAGACTTGGTTTTTGATTGTACCAAATATTTTTATTTTGCTCGTTTATACTATTTGAACTTGTGTTAATTTATTTGGTTTATTTATTTACTCTCTCTGAAGAAATACGATACACCGAGTCACTGAATATTAGAACTTTCATTTAACTAATGTAAGAATTCAAAGTTCTTTCTTAAAAATTATTATTCATGAATATAATCATATATGTTTGAGAGTAAAATAAAAACACCTTCACAGTATAATCATCAAAAAGATTGCAATAATTTGTTGTTTTTTTTTAATTATATCCTAACATTATATCTGTACTTGATTGTTAAATATTATTATAAACAAACTATTTAGATAATTTTGTTTATTTTTAAAGTTATGATACACGATAGTCTCAGTTGTCATGATTTCACATCTAATCAATTAGGTGGTGAAAGTTTTGGAATAATAACATGAAATTGTCAACATTAATTTATTCTAAACTAGATCTTTGATATTTCAGTCGTTCATATTATATCAGTTCAATGAAATTCAATTTTATTAACTGTTATTGAACTGAGATGTCTTCATTTCTTACATTTAAGATATTCCCATAAAAGGTTTGTAAATCGAAGAGATTATTTTTAGTCTTCTGAAAACCTCTATACTTTATAGAGTAAAGTCATTTAAATTTTTACTTACTTCTTTTTTATTTGATAAAAGGGATTCACGTCTAGCAGCTACAAATATTTTACGAGCTGTATTCAAATCTTCAACTGATGGCGTATTACTTGTTGTCATATCTTTATGCTAGATAAAAGAAATAAGATAATGACATGTAGATTGACTTAGGGAATATGCTAAAATATATTTAAGTCAAATTAATCAGAACTATTTAGTGTGAAAGTGTCATTAATCCTAAAACAAAATAAACATTATCACTTAATCTATTTAAACAAATGATATGGTCATTTTGTAGCCTATTTAATAGACAATGTTATGCCTGTCATTTATTTTATCTGATGACATGCTTCACTGACTTGTGCCAGGTAATATAAACTTCGAATCCGAAGAAGTATAGCGAAAAAATAGACAACTGATATGGGTTTATTTGACTGAGGAAATAAATCAAATAATATATGCATAGACTACTTTTTATATGATAAATGTACAGTCAGATTATTACTCTGTTTTTAACAATTTGACTGAGTAGTATTTGGTATCAGCAAACCTGTTACCTACTGCCTGAACACATATTTGCAATATTATAATGGTTGATAGTAAATATATTTTTTTATTATATCTTAATGAGTAGAAAATTGTTTTTTTGAAGTTTCACATCTTAATGTAAGGCACTTCTTAAGAGTAAATAAATAACCGAATTAAATAAACACAAGTTTAAATAGCACATAGGAAACAATGCAGAATATTTTTAGTACAATCAAAATCATAGTCATGATGGTTGACTTTCCCCCTGATTTGATTTTTCCTTTATGTCCTGTCACATCAGGTTGTACTCGCAAATCTATATTTTGTGAAAAGTTTATTCTACAACTACAATATACATAGTTTTCTGCTATTTTTCTGTAATTTACATTGTACTATGTTTTTTCTACACTTACCTTAGAAACACCTGAGTAATTTGTCTGATAAAAAGTTAGATACAAAGTTATCTATGTGACTGTGTAGTTTGAACAACTTTACACTACCTATTCCTTTAAAAATTCTTAAAGATTTATGCACTGACATGTAAAGGTGGATAATTTCGACAATTCGGTGGGGTTGTTATTGGTAGTCCGTTAGTTGCACTATTAGCTGACGTGTTTATAGTGCATGTTGAAAATCTATCTGAAGATCTAATCGAAAACATGTCCCTTTATAACGGGTATGTGGATGACATCTTAGTTATCTGTCAAAGAACGGAGAACGTGAAATATATAAAGAGTAAACCTAACACTGAATAAAAATAAAGAGAATTCATCGAAGGAATTTTTCCTTTCGATGAAGTCACTTACTTAAGCTGTACATTGATATTTATAGTTGTATGGTAAATATATGTGCATCGCAACCGATGAGATTGATGTAACACTCTATGTAATGTCTAATGATAATAACTGAAGACAGCAAATGACTTGACTTACTTGAGTTGAATCAGATGAACGATAATTTCCTGAGTTTAAAAATCCTAACATATTACCGGCCAAATTAATCAGTTTGCCAGATTCTGGATCATAATTTGCTTTTGAAGAATCATTATGTACATCGATCACATGATTTATGTTTGCCATATTTCTAAAACAGAATAATTTTTGACAGTAACACTAATAAGTTAATAGGAAAGAAAGTGTTATTTCAAAATACCGAAGGTCAGTATATGAATGAATAATTTCTTATAGTTTTACAATACTTTATGTATATGCTACTAGAGTTGTTTTATGAATCAGGATTCGTAAACGTTTATGGCCACAATATCATTTGTACTGTATGTGGGAATAATCACAATGAAGTTATTTTTTTAAAGGTATTTATAAGTATCATTAGTTTCGGAATTTCCCACAGATCATCTATCTTGTTTGTCCTGGTACTATAATATAGCTACAACTTATCAACTAATAACAGTCATTAAATAATAAGTTAACTCCTACTGGTAAGATTGATATTAATTAACCAATGAAAAATATCCATATCCTTGTTTTAAAACGAAGAGTTAACTCCTGTTGGCATAATTTATCTCCCAAAGCCTGATAATCATCATTTTCATAAATGAATGTTGTTCTATGTTTTATATTTCTTCAAACGAAAAATACATTAACGCTTATTTAGGTGAATAGCAGAGATCAGTCCAGTTTTTATATAGTCTTGTTCATGAATTTACATCAATCAACTAGAAAATAATCATATGAGCCGTATTAACTGGCTAGAACATGGATTTACTGAAGTTATAATAATAGTCATCAAACAACGAAGATAACCAAGTTTGAAGCGAAACACAAAAATTATTGCTAGAAATAGATGAATATGATTTTAAAGTATCGTTCTGGTCGCATGACCTATAGATTTAAGGTTTGATGCAGAGAATAATCATTAGTGAAGATTGTTTAGACCTGCTGAGAGATATGATGAAATAACTATCTATTGGTTTGCATTTAGTTTTCAACAATTCATTTATTGTACTCATTCAATGAAGAAAGAACTGTCTACAAATGTGTTATACTCATTCAACATTTCACCAAAAATAAAAATTTGTTCACAATAAAATATTCATCATACCATCTTTTAGTATTTCCACTGTTCCAACAACAATTATCTTTCTCATTCTCTTAAATAGTATTTACACAAATATACATGCAATTTGGAATACATAACCAAAGCAAAAAAATGTTCTTTTTTTTCTCTTTACAAATCACATTATTAAAAACTAGGCAAATTAGTAAAAATAAAATTTTAATTACTTATAATAACTAATCGATAATAAATTGTTACTATGCTAAAAATGATGATAATAATAATAATAATAATTTTATTACTGTAGGAAACTATTGGCTCTAAGTAAATAATTTAATTTTTCTGGTGTAAACATATGACCAGAAGAAAATAAACTTGAATCCCATTGATAAGATGGATGTGAATTAATTTTGTAATTATTATTACTAATAAAATTTGTGTTTTGCATTTGGAATTCAACATTATTATTATTATTATTATTATTATTATTATTGTTTATTGAATATTGACAGGATGATAATTTTGGATTTGTAGAATTTTGTTTAATTTCTTTTGATATTAATTGATATTTAGGCTTTAAAATAATTTTTTTCAATGGTCTATGTTTATCATCATCATCACATATGGAATGATTTGAAGGAATTCGCTTTTTTAGAATATATTTATTATTATTTAATGAATTCATTGTATTCTGATGAGTATTTTGAATAGATTGTATATAATGATTTGTTGATTTATTATAGGATTGATTGTGTACAAGTGATTTACTATTTGAATGTTTTAATTTCTTTTGAATAGATGATGATATAATTAATGGCATGCTAAAGCAAAATAAAACAATATGCAATAAAAAAAATTATAAATTGTTTACATGCAATAGATTATTTGATATTATTAGTGTTTTTATCTTTGATTTAAAGATTAGTGAAGATGGATGGATCAGGAAATACTAGAAAGATAGAAATCTTCAATAAAGCATTCACAAAATTGACAAGGATCTAATTTAAGAACTCTTGTTTTTACATGTCACTGGGTAAAAGTAAAATAGACTGACGCTTTCTGTTGACTTATTAGCCACTCAAGAAAAGCTGAATAGTTATAAAACAATGAACAATAAAAAGTGGTAAAATAATAGTGGAATAACTTTCCGGATTTGAGTAATCATTCCTCACATGATAAATTATACTTTTTAGTAAAGGAAAAACATCAGCTTTACTTATTACAAGTCGGGCCAGTATTCTGAATTAAGGTTATCACCCCATAGAGTTTTCATCACTATATGTCATCGATTAAAAACGCAGAAAGACTTTACTTGGGTATTAAGAGTAAGGCTAGAGTTTTGTGTTGAGTTTACAAATCAGGGTTGAGGTTCATATTATGAACTGATATCAGTTATAATGCAATGTTTTGACGTTCTTCTGTTTAAAAATTTTAAAAAAACCTAGCGGTTGATATTTGGAGAAAAACTTAGGACGAGAGGATATTATATAGTTTCATTAAACACTCTTGACTACTCAATGAATTACACTAAGCACTTTAACATGTTATCTGCTTTAGGAGTAGGTATGTTTTATCATTAAGCTTATGTACTCTCCTAAATGTCCATTCTGATTGCACAATAGATATCTTTGCTTATTCCAAACATCTCAAGAATCAGTTATTGTCAATTTTTATATAGTTAATAACAATGTACAAGTGATCTATCACTGAAATTCAAATTTCATACAAAACAAATGAACAGTTATCTTTATTCTGATTACTTATTTCAAGGTTGTTGATATATCATACTTTTACCGGATACTGAGTCGCTATCGAATATTAATATAACTAAAATAACTACATTTGAATCTATTCATGTAACAAGAACATTTTATGATGGCCATTATATAGTAGAATAAGCAGATTCTGTTTATTAGTTAACCAGTTGAATAAGAAGCATGAATTATGTGATGAATAATATTTTTATTATTGTTCATGATTTCAACTTTTAACAACTAACAGCATGCACAACTTTGAGATGGTGGAGAAGATTTGTAGCTCAGGTGGATGATTTTGGTGGAGTTTTGTTCGCTGAGCTGGAGAACAAAACTCCACCAAAAAGCATGCACAACTGAAATGCACGTAGAAATTATCAAGAGACATCACTAGTTCACATGCAAGAAAGAAAAATTAGATTAAACTGTTTCATATTTAATAAAAACAACTTTCAACAAGAACCCACGGGATGCAGTGGATTTACTAAAGTGTGGACATTATGAAGAAATTTCAGATCAGTCAGTTCATTAGACCACTAAAGTATAATTCATCTTTCAAACAATAAGAACAACATTCCACAAGTCCTTAGTGCAGTTTTCAGTATATTAATTTATAACTTAACGATAGTTCACATCAAAGAATCTTTACCGAGAAGAATGAATATGGAGAGAAGGTAATAGATCGGGTATCCAGTTTATTTTGACTGCTTAATGAACTGTATTCCTTGGACATGGCAGATCACCAAGAAACATTCGTCGTAAGACTTTTGAGGCATTCCAAGCACAATGTGATCCTTAACATCAGCAACATTACAAAAAACTTCAGAGACACGCTACTATCTCCAAAGTCGGATACTGTTATGGAACAGTCTCACTTTATAAGTAGTATGTGGTTTTGGTAAAAAGAATGCTTAACAATAGATTAAGTAGTTCATTGACAGATAATATGTACAAAACAATCAAGTTCACAAGAAGTTGAATATAACTTGAATAGATGCTAAATTCTTTAAAACTCAAAAGCAGTAAACATTTTTTACCTAGCTTCAGCATCTTTTCTCTCTTTTTCCATAAGTGCAACAACAGCCGGGTGAGCAGTTTTACCTGCTTGTGCATTTAAAAACATGTCATTCCATATTCCCATCCCATTCTTTAAATTATTTCCTGCAATATCATACATTCCGTTAACTTGCTGAGTATTAATGTCTCGACGACCCGACGGACGTTTACTACTTCTACGTCTAGTCCATTCACTTAAAGTTCGGCCAAAAATTCCACCTGATGTATCACGCTTTAAGAATGAGAAATGAAAAATATATATATAACTTGTAGCAATTTTTTGTATTTAGGAAATACTCAATTAATTAAGTAGTAAAGACAGAAACCATTACTTTTATTGAATAAAGGATAGTACTTTAAAAATTGAAATGGAAAGTGTTTCTAGAATAGTGACATTTTTTGAATATTGCACTTAATATTTAAAAGTAGGAATATCAGTTTTGGTTAATTTTGACAAAAATTAATATGAAATCATTACAAAAACTTAGTTACAAACTGTTTCCATAGATTAAGACGTGAAATACTGTTTTTCAGCAAACTATAGACATTGTACTCATAGTTCGAATCAAGAACTTTAAGCCAAAGTTTTAAAACTCATTCAAATTATACAACAAATGTTTGCTGTTAGAAAGTTGCAACAGATCTTCAAAGTCTAGGATCTAGGTTTTTTGTTAATTAATGCACGACAGAAGCATGTATCACCATTCATGAAAGAGCTTATACTTCAAGTCAAAAGTGAGCTCGGATCACACCTCATCGCAGTCAGAAGCAATGCCACTGAGTTATTCCGTCTGGGACTAAACCTCTGTACGACCAAGATATTTGTATTAACTTATCAAAAGGTTATAACTGATAGGCCGGCTCAGTGATCTAAAACATATGTGTTGACGCACAAAACCGGTAGGTCCTGAGTTTGAATCTTACGAGGCGGGATCGTGGATGCGCAGTGTCGTGGAGTTCTACAATAGGACGAAACGGCCGTTCAGTGCTTCCAAGCTTTCCATGGGGGTCTAGCTTCAATTTACTCATGATCTCAACTATTGGAGTTACTGTAATATCCACAAAATTACTTCTGATACTAATATCATTTTTGCCTATCAGTCATTGTAAATTAAATTCTACTGATCAAGTTTCAGTGTGCCCACTATTCTAAGTCACTAGCTATCAATTTCTTTGACACTGTAGATAAGCCTTCTTAATGAGTATCAACTAGTTTGAAACCTAGGTACAGTTCTCTCTTCTACATAACGCAAAGAAATCGGACAACAGATTCGAGTCACTTGGTCTAGTCGGCCATATTACAACTTAATCAGAAAAATCCTATTGAAACAAAAAAGAGGACATGACATACTGTGTCACTGAGTAATCAGTTAGTCTGTTTTAAATATATATTCTGATACTCTGATTTTCTCCCACCATTAAAGACTACATATAAGGATACCCACTTATTTATTTCAAAAAATATACTTAGTGGGTTTATGAACATATTTTACGAGCAATACAAAGAAAATTATTTATTATCCATTACCTTCGTTTTCCAAAGGCAAAACATTATTTGAGGTTGTGACTTTTATTAGATTTATAACCTCTGTTGTGAAGATATAAATACCACACATACCTTATCCACTCCACGTCTGCGCTGAATCTCATCACCAGTAAGATCTGAAGAACAACGCCTGGGAAATCCAATTATTGTAGGTTGATGTGGCATTGCACGGTCACCGGCCTGTCAATATAAATAGTTATATTATACGTTATGCATTTTTAGAAAGCGTTTTCACCAAATATTCCTAGTTCCCAATTCACTATGATCATCAATTTTGGGGATGAATTTCAAAACGGTAGTGGTTCTCATCCTAGCTTATCGAAATTGGTTTCATTATGAATTGAAATATTACAAATTCACTAGTGGAAATTAATGATTAAATAATAAATGGATCATTACCATCCCTTTACTCCATAATATTGCTTTATCCTGTTATACTGTATAGATATTAGCTGAGAAGCTTTTTAACATGTGCTTGATTTTTTTATTAGAACTAAAGATGAATGAAATCCATCAACTAAGTTTTTGAACAATATGTTAAATCCAACTAACTATCAACTCCATTCAATATTACAATTATTAAATTTGTGTTGGATTATCATTGCAGAAATATATTTTCCTACCTCGTTGGTCAGTATCCACGCTTATGAAATTAATCATACTAAATGACTAAAGTTGATAGGCCATTTTATGCATTAAAAACAAGCTATAAGATCAATAACAGACTCAATTTTAAAACAAAATCTACAAATTCAGTGAAAGCAACAACGAAAAATGAATGGATGTAGTTAATTATTGTGAATCATACCATTATTTGTGGAATATATCGTGTATCTTTTTGTATCATTTTACGTTTCTGCCATTCACGAAACCAATTTTGAATGAGAAATGTGGCATAGAATTTGCCTACTGTGACAACATCACTACCTATATGTAACAATAACAAAAATAAATGAGTTTTATGTTTTTTTTAAAGGTATTTATTGCAAAAACTATTGAACTCTAGCAATTGATTATGGATTCTGGCCACATAAGAAATCATTTTAAAGACAGCATGAACGAAGATTGGTGCAAACTGATATGAATTCCTTTTATTTCGTTAGGTTCTCATCAGCTGTTCACAACCTATAATATTTGAGAATCAACATTATTAATGATATTGACATATTAATATATATGAGGGTGATTAGAAGTGAATATGTGTATCATGATGTAGCTAAGATATGGTAAATAAAAAACTTATTTTCATTCATCTCGAATTCAAAGGTGATAATGTCACAGGGCCAATCAATATGAGACTAAAAACCACTGACAAGAACTTATCCTGCAGCTATATTGATTGTTCTGTCAATAACAACATGTTCATTAACACAATCAAAGATCGATAGGTATCACTTTCATGTTACCACCAACTATGTATAAAAATTTACATGTAAGTGTCAGAGCAGTTACATTGGTAGAACAGAAAGGAGAGCCTATGTTTGGTTCAAAGAACACATTGCGAAAAATTTAAGGTCAAGTGGGTTGAAAGTATTCAATAGTGTCATCCCAAAACATCTTGACACAGGACATGAAGTCGATACGCTGAAATCTTTCAAGGCGATTAACAAACAACCAAACTTCAACCTTTTGAAATTTTTCGAAGCGGCAGTGATCAAATATCTAAAACCAGATCTATGTATCCAAAAAGAAGCAGTAATAAATCTTTCTTCACTCCGAAAAAAATACACCCCTTTTTCTTTATGACATCATTCATCATTCCAACTGTTTCTGAAGTTTAATTATACCATTGTCATTTTTCTTGAATTCATAGCTGACTGATTTCAATTCATATCTTTCTATTTTACCATTAATCTATTTTCGGTTGCTCCACTACACAATCATCTAATGTTCGTTAACTCAATGAGTTCTTATCACTATTTCAATATTCTGGAACATTCCCTCCCAAACTTTATTTATTCCAAACAAGATTTTTTATGACATTAACTGTATCAGGATCTTAGGTACATCATGATACACATGTTCGCTTCTAATCACCCTCATATTTATTAATATGTCAATATCATTAATAATGTTGATTTTCAAACATTATAGGTTGTGAACAGCTGATGAGAACCTAACGAAATAAAATGAATTAATATTATTCTGCCTCAATCTTTCTTCTTACTCTCTTCAAGATAATAAATAGAATTATGTGTATAAGAAATAGTTAATTCACAATTACAAGAACAGGTTTTGCCACTCTGAGTAAAAGATGAGTAATTTTTAGGCAACTTACAATGAGTAAAATATAAGGGATCTGATAGCAAAACATTATAGATATACCGGACCTCACTTTAAACAAGAACGACAGAAATATCGAGTAAAGCTGTCTTTTGAGAAACATGATTCAATTAATGTGTAAATTGATTTTTTAAGAAAACTATGCTAATAAATAAATAAATAGAACATACCTTTCGGTGGTATGATTTGATCTAATAATTTCGGACTAGTACGTTTCCAGATACGTTTAATCACTATACGTAATTCTTCATTCAACTGATCTAACGATTTTTCTTTTTCGCCAATTTCAGCTACAATTTTTTTGGAAAATAAGGAAAAATATTTCTCGAAGAAAGTCAAAGCAGTAAAACAAACAGACAAAGATCGTCATCATAATCGTTATTTTCTCCGTAAAACACAAAATAAATCTGTCCGTATGACAGAAATAGAAATATTCAGATCATTTTAATTAGGTTAGCAATTATGTTTTACGCTTGTATCATTGCTTGGTACAGGTGAGTACGCAAATATTAGTGTATACAGTAAGATAAAAACAAAAATGGAACATGACAGGTTAAAGTAATAAAAAAGGACTGACAAGGAAAAAGAAAATGGCAAGTGAAAGCGAATGCAAGAAGTGATATTTTGCATTCTCCTTAAAGCAATGTAACATATAAATAGATTAGTTACAAGGAGCATCAACAAATCACTTAGACAATAAATTATAAATATAATTGTCCAATAAAAGTTTAGTAAAACAACTCACTTATCTATTATAAGTGAATGAAATGTACAATAAAGCTACGAAGAAATTTTAGTGTAAAATATAACATTGCTTGATATGCATAACTGGTGAACTATTTAGTCAAAGAAGCTTATGTTTGTTAGACAGAATATACTGATATAAATACCCTTATTTCAAAATTCACAAAATTTATCAGTTGTTTATCAGCTGCTTCTAGGTTAAATGTTTAAGTAGTCCGATAATACATAGTTAAATACCATTCATAATGTAAAGTCTACAGTTGTTTGACTTAAACATCATATAAGGTTATAGGTCTCATCTTGAACATGATAACCTTCAGAGTGTAAGTGACAAATACTTTGAAAATATTTCAATCATATATAATACTATACAGATGTTCTCCCAAGTTGCTTATTCATTATGCTTTAAAATCCCATGAATAATAAAACATTGTGTTTCTGCGGAATAAGAAATTTAATACGCTTAAATCTCAGATAACTGACCAAGTTTAGCTGACTTAGGCTAATACTTTTGAATAACAATAATAACAAAGAACACTATGGAATGAAGTGAAGACAACTTACTGTAAATATTCCAATTACTTGCTAATTGTCTAAATTAAGTGTTTAAGGAATATGAATTTGTATGAAACATACACGAAGAATTATTTTCATAATTAATTTAAAAAATCGTCTGTACTTAAGTAGAGAATTATACATTATCTCACACTTTTGACTTACACTATGCGATGTTAAAATCAGTGTGATTTGATAATCACTTCCTAGGTATTTATCTTAATTTATCTCTTGCTTTCATATTTTTCATGTCTGACTGAGACATTTAAATAAAAAGTCATATTTCTGTTATAAATATGTCAACAGAAGAATGATTAACATGTGTAAAAATTGATTATTTCAAGTTGTCAAATCCAATGGTAACCCACTGAAAATATTAAAAAGCTTATTTAACTTTTTAGAACATAAATACGAATAGGTTACTCTGAAATTCAAAACAATAGTTTAGTCAATCTGTGGTGTAACACAGGCATCTAGCTATTTCATCCAAGATCACAAACCACTTCGTTCTAGTGCTTTAAGAAACCAAGAAGTTATAATAATACAGAAAAAAAGTGGTCGCTACTTATTCACACAGATGTTAAAAATCTAAACCATCGATCACAATCTATTGGTTTGAAAATAAAGCGCTCAATGCAAGATCTGAAAGTTTCAGGATCTATCGTTGGTTGAATCAAGTATCCACAACTCTGAGTTAGTCCAATGTCCCTGGATTTTAATGGTTTTCTAACTATGGTCAATCTATGGTATTGAGTTTCAGATCCAACAATCTCTACAGCCATTTACATGAATGAGGGTTCTGAACTGTCGGTCAAATATATGCACTATAAGATACATAACATTCAACAGAGTGTTGTAAAATTGGTCAGAGGACAGTCTATGTAAGTTGGTGATACTGCGAACACATTTCGAGAAGACACAGTTAAATGAAATGAATATTCATATAACTCAATATCAGTTCTAATGTCAATCAACAGGCATCTACACATTAAATGTTACTTATAAAACCATCCTTTATCAATAAATCAATAAAGATGAACAAATAAATGAAATGCAAAGAGCAGAATATTATCGAATGTTATTATTACCTCCAGGAATTTTAATTTTGAGATTTCTACGCACTAAAGCAAAAAGAGTAGCGTTGAAAAATACAGTTCCATCACTATTCAGAGGCATATTCATTCTGACCAGTTTCTGTTTGAATTAATAACAAAGAAAGTAATTAATGGTTGAAATCTCGAATGTCACATAATGTAATTATAAAAAATAAAAATATATATATCCTGGCACACTAATTTGCAACCATTCATTTGCTGAAGCCTGTTTTGTCTAGCAATGTTTGCAGAAATACAACAAAGCTTCGAAATAAAAAAATCCCCGAGTAAATGTGATTAACTCTTTCATCGTATGAATGTCAAGCAATTTCCATCCGTTTCCAAATAACCAAAATATCGAGATCATAAACCGATCAGTGTGAAAAGCTATGACCAGTGACGTTTAACCGTGTCAGGTGTGAGACAGTTACTCACCGAAGACTATGGGGAATGGTCGTGCAATATCGTTGATCGGTTGGAGTTAGACATTAAGACTGTTGAGATTCGTTTCAGTGGGCGTTCGCATGCGAGAATGAAGTTTATGGGTTCGACTCCCGAGTGCATGATCATGGATACGCACTGTTGAGAACTCATACTCCAGGGCAAAACAGCCATCTAGTGCTTTCAGTTTTTCAATGGTCTTACACTGATTGGCTCATGATTTCAATTAAAACCCAACAACCTCCCTAATCCTATACTGATAATGAAAAAGTCGTTAAAGCGCTCTTGTTGCAGTTGACATAGATAAGCGTCTTTATGATTTTAATAAGTTGTGATAGCAACAAAAAGTATTATTGTTGTAGAATTTCATACATCTCAGTATTACTGATCCTTACGATGTGATATATATATATATATATATATATATATATATATATATATATATATATATATATATATATATATATATATATATATATATATATATATATAAGTTTTTTTCTTGTGACAGAAACATCTTTGACAGTCTCGAATTTTTCCAGTTGTCATTAGTTTGTGATTGTCATTGCTTAAGTGTTTTCGTGTTCAAATCATCCAGATTAAGAAGTTCAAACCTACAGTAGTATTGAAAGCGCCACCTGATCGTTTCTATTTAGAACACAAATAAAATGCAAACGTGATAAAACTTATTTGAAAAATTCGATGACGTGATTTATATGTGAATAAAATAATCAGCGCAATTCAAATGGAGAGTAATCTAAGTAGAAACATGTAGTTAATCATACGACTGAATAAAATTGTACATAAGTCTGTCAGTGATTCAAATAATGTTTTCCATACTTTAAACAGACAAAAAATAATGGTTTTCATCATGAAAGCCGATAGAGACGGCATGCATTTACAGTACTAGCATGTGGATCACTAACCTATGTGAACCGGTTTTTCTCATCCTATTTGTAAATCTTACTGACTCATGATACCAATCACACTGAGTTTATTCATTTTAATTTATTACTTTGGCAGCCTTTGTAAACTTTTTTCAAAGTGGTTAGTATTCGCATGACGATTCACAGATCGACGTAGTTGGAAGTAGGTGGCAGGAGACTCTGTAATTTGTTTTATTACTCGTTTGAAACTCATCGAGAAAATATACTTCTAATCTTGATTGAACTGATACCTTGTGGGATTCAGAACTCCCATACCCAGCTTTACTGTCAGAGATATTACCACTAAATTATCAGGGCCGCACGGATCATTAGTTTCATTATAACCATAAATATACTTTGTTAAATTGTGCTAATAAACACGAAACCTAGGTTTATAATTTGTTGCCGACTATTTCAAACCACTAAATATCAAGATTAGTAACCATATTCGATATATTGGATCACTACCACGGATTAGACAAACACGAAGTTTGTTAATACACAGTGTGACACCAATGTACATTTATCAGGTTTTAGGATAAAACTCAATACAACAGATCTAATATGACTATAAATTATAAAAGCCTCAGGCATATTTATTCCCAGAAAATAAATATTTCAATGTGCTTACATGACATGCTCTGGTATGTGGGCACATGCTGCCAAAACCAAGTGGTGGACTTATTTTTCCAAGCATAGTAACAACATCTAGATGTCGAACCCTTCCTCTGTACAAAGAAAAACAAAGTCAAATGATGGCAAAATATTTTGTGTTTGGTGGAATTGACAGTCAGTTATAAGTGTATATTTTCGAACAGATGTAATAAGTAGTAACCAACTAAAATTTCAACTGTACAACTACGTTACAAGGAGCTGTAATGTATTCAATATTTGATACATTTCATCTGTTATGTTTCGGTATAAATACCCAGCAAAAGTTATGCCCTTTATGAGATTTCTGTTTAGCGATCTGGCGCATATATATTATTACTGACTAAAAGTGTTAAATATGATATATTTACTCATACAAAGTCTTTTTACCATATTGCATATTAAAGTATTAGAAATGGCGTAACAATACCGTCATGATAAAGTAATATCGATTACTATCCTTCGTCTACTTCAGTAACCTAGGGCTTATTTCTAGGTTCAGTAGTAATTCAAATGTTACACTATGGGGGTCGCTTGTTGATTAAAGCGTCGACTTCCAACTATTAAGTCTCGGGTTTGAGCTTTGCTCCACCAATTCGGTTCGGACAACCGGGTTAAACCACTGGCCTACACATTTGGTGTGTGGGTCATATTCAAGTACCTTGAGAATCAGTTGACTTAGTGGTTGATATTTATTAAAAAATCAATGCTGAACAATTTCACGTTAAGTTGTTGTACGAATATGATTTTTTCGAAGCTCAGGAGCAAAGTAACGAGGATGGAAACACGTAAAGCATAAGCCTAATTTATTTACTTCCAAAAACCAAATAAGTATATTTTACTTTTAGAAAGAACAACTTGAGTGAAAACCGTATGTTCGTTACAAATTTGCTCAAACTTGAATGGTACTGTATTTCAAAAATGTTTTTACTCACTTCGCTTCTGGATCATAATCTGCCCATTTTGTTATAAATTCATCCAGATGATGTGGTCCGAGAATTGACCAATCACGTGTAAGATAGTCAAAGTTATCCATTATAACAGCTACAAACAGATTGATAACCTGGAAGTCAATTGATATAAAATTTTGATTGTGACTTAGAATGGTAGTCTAAATTATGGAATTATATTTCCGAAATTGACTAAAACACCAATAAAAAATTGAGTATTAAAAATTATCGTGGAAGGTAATTTTAATTTTAGAGATATTCAGTGAATAGGAAGTTTTGTGTGTTCTTAAAATAAATTAATATGCGGTAAAAGAATGCACAAGACATGAAACACCCTAGCAGATGAATCAATTAAATGAACCCTTTCCCATCAAATATAAGATCGTTAATTGATTGAATTTAGAGATGTGAACTTTAGAATGCGGGCCCAGTGGTCTGAAAGTTAAGTGAACATCACAAGACTTGAAAAACCTGAGTTCGATCCCTGAACGGGTCGTAGGTTTACACTTATTAAGGTTCTCATGTTAGAAGAAAATAGGTGTCCAGTGGTTGTATAACTAACATTCATGAAAACTACTGAAAATGATGATGTTGTACAGGAAACAAAGCAATAAAATAATATTTTAAACGTACTAAAAATGCACTGATTGCATGAAAACTAATAAAGTAGGCATAGGCTAATTTTGATCCACATCCATTGACTTCTGTTTCATCAGAATCTTTTGAACACTTTTGACCTGATAATAAAACAAAATTGTGAAAAAATTACTGCAAATAACTTCTGTGTCTATATGATAATTTCTTATCACATTAACCATCAAACAAGCAATTAACTACACTTAATTTCCATTATGATTTTTTACAAAGCGTTTGTTTTTTACTTGAATGTTCTATCATGTTTCCTGAAACAAAATGTTGGCCAACATATCATGTATAGCTTATATGTTTTGTGGACAATTGGTATGGATCTCAAGGCAGTCTTTTTACAAATTTAATATACATCTAGTGAATGTTAGATACATATAAATTTTCTTCGCAAGTAAGAATATTGGTGAAATTAAATCTGTGATTTCTTGTCATACATATAGTTTTTTTAGTCTGACAAATATTATGAAGATTAGATATTTGTGAAGATTGTTTCGATAAAACACTTGTTTGTACTATAGACTAAAACTAAGCACTAAACAGACAATTAAATTATTAAGCGATTAAAACAAAACATATTCCACATCTCACCTTCTCTACATGCCATCATTATATCCTGCCATGATTCACCAGTTGCACATCTAAACAAAATAAAAAATTTTTTGACTGTATTAAGTTACCATAAAATTTCTCAGAAAATATTGCCGAATCGAATGACATTCTGTGAATAAAATTGCTTTGTCACATAGCTCATTAATCTCCACAACCTACTTAATGGACGCGTGCTGATGTATGATAGGCTAACCAAACTGTGATTGGCTGATGAAATGTCACTTTATAGCGCCATCTCATTATATTAGTTAACCACTGATAGAAACAAAACATTATGTTGTCCAGACTATAAGGCTGATCAAATTCAATTATCCACATTGATAAGAGTTGATACGACAATGAACATTTAAATCAAACAATTAATAACAATCATGAATTAAGCGCAAGATCGATTTCTAAATATCCAACTCCGAGAAGAGGTCAGTCGCACCCCGAAACGTTGAATAGTAACATTTCTAGCTATGACACTGTGCTACACAAGTTAAAATCTCAATTGGAATACTGCTTAAGATTATAAATACACTCAGTCGACAAGTGCTAACTTGTACGAAATGAAAACAGATGTGAGTTCTCCTGACCAGAAATCTACATAAATTTTTCACCAGGTAAGCTAAGTCAATTACCTTACTTTTAGGCGAAAATTAAAACTAATAAATCCTTAAATCTTTTTTACACAGAGTTAAAAGTTTTTTCACTAACCGAAATAATACTAAAAGAGCATAGAAAAAATTTTGAAAATTATTATTTCTGTGTAAAGTAGGCCATTCCTCTTCTTCTAATGGGTTTTCTTCAATGGAAATTTGTCCAAATAGTTGCATACCAATTACGGCATAAATAAAAAATATCATTGCAATTAATAATGCAACGTATGGTAGGGCCTAAATTTCACACAAAATAAAGAGAAATGAGAATGCGTATTACAATAACATCCTTATACAATTTGAGGAATTCAAATTAATTTGATCAAAATATATTAAATGCATTCATTAGCAAATATTCCAATATATATGCAGAAAAAAAATACTATTGAGTACGAGTCATTTGTGGAGATGGAGATTAACTGATCGGTGTCCACATGATGCCTATTGACTATGTCTGACATTCATGAGTTATAGGACAGAAGACCTTACTGTATTTATTCTAGTTTCTTCTTCTGTTTGTGATGAAATGAATTAGTTATTAAAGTGCATTGAACAACGATCCATAATAAATGATCTTACACTTAATGTTTTTAAGTGCCGAAGTATGAGCTTTACTCGAAGATGGAAGTAACATAGACTCCTAGAGGAAATTATATGATTTTTAAATTGCTGTCACATTTAATGTGTCTCTGTTTGAGTTTTTCTCCTGATCTCGTTCGGTCTTACCATGTTTTCTTAATGTTGTTCTTAGCAATACAGATATTTACTTTAGAATTTTGCAAACCTTCGTTCATTACCTATTATCTTATCCTATATCTTGATATTTTTTCAAGCTATTAGTAGCTATGTGTGGTCATTGTATTTATGTTATTGTAAGTATGGTTTTAAATAGACATTTCATTCAGTGCAAGCAACTCCCTAGTGTTTTTCTGTCAAATACAAACCACCTGATTAATCCACTTTTTCCTCTAATGTATATATGTTTATTACTGAGATATAAATGAAAAAGCTTGTTTAAATATTTTAGGCTGAGAACTCCACGTTACACTAGAAATATATATTAGTGAATGAAGTAATTATTTTTATAATTAGATGAGTGACAATTTAAACTTATAGAAACTTGTTTTTCATACTGTTATATACTATAACTAATCACTTATTATGATGAACAACAATTAAGTCTAACTGTCCCTTCTTTGTTTAGTGAAAAAATAAGTGACTACAAAACTAACTCATTATTTATGACATCTAGTCATATTTACTTACGTGAAAATATTTAACATAGAAGGATATTATCTTATTAGATAAAAAACCCGATACTCTGGCTATTGATCTCTTTAATACCAGAACGTTCGAAGGCCTTAGTCAATAATCCGGTCTTGTATGCAGCCATCACTTTTTCACATTGTATCAAAGCATATTGCATATAAATACTCATTTTATTCAACAACTTTAACGCTTCAAAACTCATTTATTCGTCAAATCCTAATTTATAGCATTGGTTATCACAATGTTTAGCAGTCATGAATTACACATCTACTTAGCTCAATATGAAAACAAAAATAAAATGTGGCTTATAATTTTTACTATAATAGTGTTTGTTCTGAATTTTCACGTTTTATTCAAAATACAGTGTCAATGAGAAACAAAGAATTAATAATTTAGTCCATCGAGTTCAATCAACATTAAGTACAAGGCAAAAATAATTTTTGGTTTCTAATCAGTATTCAATTAGTATCAATATCACTGTCCTACAGAACTCGAATAGCTCGGTAGTCCTGTCTCATTAGGTGACCCTGATTTCAACAAGTGATCATATTTTAGCTTGATTGACATAATTCAATTAAAACTGAAGACAAATAGAACATGATATTGGTTACTATTCAGTGATCAATCAGTGAAGAACTTCTAATTCTCATTTTATGCCAATTTTACTGAATCAAAATAGAATATGTACATTTTTTAAAGAAAGCGTTTTAAATCTAATAAAAACAGCCTTTAATCAAACTAACAGATATTAATGCATTGACAAAATGGAATGTGGGTTGTTATTATCACAGGCTATACAGTGTATAGAAATTCTTTTACTGGGGAAGGAACATAATACGATTTCAATTTTATGACATTAACTTATATTTAATGTGTCTTATTCATTTTTTAGTTTTCCGATCAATTTTTAAGTCTATTAATGTATTCATGGTATTTTAATGTAAATAATTTTGTCAAACAATCGGCAATTTAGAAAATAAATTGATGCAAAAAGTACATCATCAACAACAAAAATTCTAGACGCTTTTAAGACATCAATGAAATATGTAAATTTTGTAAGACATTGCTGTAGGTTTATTTCTATCAAATAATGAGCTACCAAGCGATTGATGAAGATCATTTATTCAAAGAAATTTGAAAAGTGATCTTATACATAAACAAAACAAAATTGTATAAATTAAATTTCACCAAGTTTGTAAATTAGTTGAACTGAATATTCCAACAGATTATTCAACGATGAATACAGACTAAAGACTAGAATAAAATATGAATTTTTCATGTAACCAATCCCACAATTTATGTTTGCTCACCGATACAAACATAAAAACTTGTTGAAATCATGTTACTGTAAATTATTAATAATATTATCTGATGATTTAAATTATTAAAGCAAACCAATAATGAATATACTCTATGAAGAGTTACAAAATTACTTGTATAGATTTGATAAATGTCCACAATAATTGACGTATAGATTCTTCTTTGCTTAACAATTTAATCAATCTCATAACACGAAATAGACGGAAAAAATTTACACTGAATTTGACCTGACTTATATCAGACTAAAAAAATTAAAAAATGAAGATAAGACAAGATTTAAAAAGAAATTAGTCAGTAAACTAGACACAACGTGTTCTTTTTTGCACATATAATATTGTGTTTGGAATCATGGTGAGTGAGTATCAACTAATAGTCTTATTAGAAACCATCCAGATTCTAGAATTTATTGTACAATAATTATCGATTCTAATGATAACTAATAAAATCGCAGACACTCTAGGATATCAGTATGCAGCAGAAATATAGCAGAACATATATATGGGAAAATTAAGATCTGTTTGTGCCTCGTGATTGACTGTGAACAATAAATAGCCAAATAGTCATAATTTGAAACACGTTAATTACATTTTTTATTACATCAATAATAGTCGACAATTTCAGCTTTTTCCTAATTTTTCTATCATGACAGGAATATTTATGTAAACTAATAGATAAATGAAGCAATGATAACCTTAGTTTCAATGAAATATGTATATAAATCCCTCATTCATTTATTCTTTTAAACAATATAACGGACTACTATTCATGATCTACTTCTAAGAACAAAGTTTCCTGTTGATGGATCAAACAAGAATTTGTGAACAGAATATGAAAGATGAATAATATCACTTTATCAAAACAGTATTAAAACCCTGTTTGAATCCATAATAACTAGCAAATCGACTCTATGTTACCTAATACAAAGTATTATAAACTATACAAGTTGTTACGCAAAAGTGATGTGTAAAGTTTACAATTGTATATTATTGATGGCTGTTTCATCCTGTCTTTGAATATGAGACGTGTAAACATTTAACAGTGAATAGTATTTTAAAACTGTTGTGCAGTTTAAATTTTTAGGATTCTATCAACTAGTGGTTTGATACATTATCAATGAAATCATCTATATGAATACTATCAGAAATTAAAGACAAGAGTAATCGGAAAATAATACTTGCCGATAATGAAACTAAATATTATCTTTCCAAATTAACATTAAATTACTTACAGATGTATGTTGTACAGTCAAATATGGAAAATATGTTTATATATAAGAAATGTCAGTTGGTAAAAAGCAATTCATATAAATATTGTTTTACCTGTGTCACAATGATATCTATATAACTACCAAGGACCAGGACAAAATCGATCACATTCCAAATATCACTAAAATAATGCTAACAAATTTTTGAGAGGGAAAAAAACAAAAGGAAACCACCAATAAGTAGAAGTAATTACCCCCGCAAAAAATGGAATAAAAATAGGAAATTTTATTTCACGAAAATCCCATTACATAGTCTGTTTCTGTTATTACTATCTCAAATCCATGAGTAACTACATGTTTCTCCTACAATAAGAACCACAGTATATTTACACATATGTCATGATTGCAGACTAAGTGCGCCGTTGTATGTCAGTTAGTCAGCAACCTGTGTTTACAGCTTTTAGCCAATTGGCAACGATGATCGTAAAACAAATTTATTGAGCCAGTAATTTTATTCCTTTATGCTCGTGACCTCTCGTAGAGGAGCATAGACCACCAACCAGTATTCTCCATCCAACTTTGTCCTGGGCAATCCTTTTCAGTTCTTTACAGTTGCCATTCATCCTTTTCATGTCTGCTTCCAATTCTCGACGCAGTGTGTCCTTATTATTTTAGCTGGCTTTTTATTAGGATACTGAAATAAATACTAAACTTAGAGTTAGGCTGGCAGAAATAAATAAATATTGGTAATTACTTTTGGAAATGTCAGTGAAGAAGTATCATTGATATCCTATGATTTAATATTTCCCATCAGCTGATGTTTCGATAATTAACATAGTTTTCGGAACTTACGAAAATTCCAAAATACCATTTAAATACAAAAGTGACATTATCATTTTAATTATGTTTTTAAACGAAGAGTATCAACAGTAAGTAATGACAACACTGAACACGGTCCTTTAGTTACTGAATCATATTTAGGTCATTATCATCTTATAAAAAAAGTTTAATAAACACTTGTCAATTTATAAAGTACAAGATTATGAACTATTAATCATTTTTGAAATAAAATCGAAATGGAATAAAATGAAAATTCATTTGTTCTTAGAAATAGATACATAATAAAATACAAAACTCACCCGAAAACTGAATGCTGATAAACGAAGTATAAATTCTACTGTAAATACAGCAGTAAAAAAATAATTGAATGAATCTAATATTCTTGCTTCAAGTTTACCTTGTTTATCATACTATGAAGATGAAACAAAAGAAACAAATGACAAATAAAATTAAAAATTTTATCAAGTAGTTTTTATTATAGAGATTTAAAAATATACACTATATTATAAATTGATATCAGTTTGAAAATCATTAAACATTAGAAAATCATATATAGATATATTTCACAAAACTGAGACTCATCAGTAGTACGTGTTCATAAGTTTGTACATATCCCAAAGTAAAATTATATAGCTTTTCGAACATTTTTTAGTATTTTCATTTGTTCTCAAACTGATAAAAAAGTTATGCTAGGAAAATCTCACGTTTAAAAGATTAAGTATATTTATTGACTATAACCTTATTGAAAGTATCATTATACAATTACTATACAAATGTAAAGCTATTTGGAATCATTCATAAGATAAAATCTCTAATGTCAAAAGTATTCCCTATTCAAATATGATTAGTGAACAATAATAAGAGATTTTCAAATTACATCAAGTGCATAACCGAATAGCTCGACTATGTATTCACTAACTTTTACAATAATTTTGTTAATATAAAATTTTAATATCGATTTTAATAAGACACATGTATGTATTAAAATGTCGTTTATGTATCAGATATAACTCATCAAAATTTCACTGTACCGGATATTCGGGAAAAAAATGTAAGTATCATAGAGTTTTGCAAGCCATAAAACCAAGTTATTTGTAAGGATTAACAAATTTCCGATGCTAAATGATTACAAATAAAACACCGTAACGATCAGTTAACTTCTCGATGGATTCATAATTGGTAAAAATACCCATAAAACTTACGAAATAAAATGACGCATGTTCTTAGAGTAACTCATTTTTCAATGATCATTTGGTAGACATATCTTTAAATATTCATCAACCAATATATATTAAGTCGGGTAGCATTCGAGTAAATAAATTATAATATGATAAGACAATATAAACCGTAAAATTATAAAATTATTTGCTTACTTTCAACATCAATGCCACAGTGTTTATAAATATGAATATGAAGATTAATATTTCAAACCTTTTTGATACAACTACAGACCAAATCTTAAACTGTAAATGCCCTTTAGGAATGTAACGTCGACGTGGTCTAGCTTTTAAGGCATATTCTATACATTTACGCTAAAGATTAAAAAAAGACAATAAAAAGAACATTTACGTAAAATACATTGTTGAAATTGATAAAATTAAGGGATAATATAATGAAATGAGATACGAATAACAACAATGTTTGTTGACGAATGTCTAAACTAAGTTTAATGATTTAGTATATTTACGTCCACAAAACGCTTAGTTAAATATACTTTATTCACTTTCGTAAAAGCTGATTAATCTCAGAATACTAAGTTTTTGCATCTCAGTTACATTTGGTGACTCTTATTTAAATATGCCACATAATTAGTAAATTTAGAAGTTATGCTATGCAGATAGTATCCATCAGACCTGATGGTTGTTCCTTCTAGTAGATTATAATTTAATGAATTTAGAAGATAACGGTTTACGAGTTCCACTCATGAAGCAATAAACCAAATTTTATCAGTCACCTGTTATTATACTGATTTTGAAATTATAAAAATAATTCAAGATTCTTTTGTAGCCTACACCATAAAATTATGAAAGTAAAACTTTATTCAACAAAGCTGATGCCAGTTATTTTGTCTAAATTATAAATTGAAAATTAGGATTTATTCTTCTTTAATTTCGAACCAACGTTTTATAACGATGTTTGTCATAAGGTACCCGAAGTTTACTACTGAGTTTTGGAAATCACTCAAGTTTCCATTTAACTTATCTGATCAGGACAACGTAATATCTTCCACGTTCATCATCTTGCTTACTGCCATATAAATTTCTGGCGTACCACACTTGGTAAGAACCAACGTCATATTGTCTAGTACTTAATGCTGATCTAACTGTATCGAAGAAACTCAAAAGCAATTTAAGTTTCTCAGCACAAAAAAAAGTTAATTTAATAGTAAATAACTTATCGCCAACGTCGAGGAATTAGACAGAAGGTGTGATGAGTATAAATCCTATAGAAGGCATCAAATTCTTCCAAGATCGCAGATATAGCGTCTTGCCAACTGAAAACTAACACAAAAAATAAGTCGACCACTTGTCGCCAACCACCAAACATCATTCGGTTAGTTATTCAGTACTTTTCACTCAAAATAATTCACCATACCAGGAGAAAAAATTCCTTACTTGATTTTTATTTAATTCACAATTTTTATATTCTGCTTCACCCTCTTTTTGAAATGTCACAATAACGAAACCGACGAATATATTAATCATGAAGAATGGAATGAGAATAATAAATGTAATGTAGAAAAATGCGACTATTGGTCTATAATTTGTTATTGGTCCATGATCTTCTGCGTTCGAATCAATAGATCGGTATAATAAACTGAATAGAAAACGTAAACACCCAATGAGTAGTCAAAGTAAAAGATTGACATGATATTAATTAATTGTATAAGTCCCATTAAAAATTCTATAAATATGTTTCAATTTTTAATAACTGAGAATAAGTTTATTAGGAAACTATTTTTGAAACCATTTTACCCGGATAGTATGTTAAGCTAACTTTTCAATGGAAATAAAACTATATCATGAATAGATAAGGTGTTTGTTTAACATGAAAAATATTCTTTTCATTTAATAACATTTATAAATGAATATAATAATAAATGTTAACTAATACATGATACTTGGTATACACAAATTTCGGTAGTTCCCATTTAACACTGACAGAAATACATTGAAAGTTAGACATATAAAGCTGACAACACTAGATGGTCGTTACAATCAAATGGGAAATACAGACCACTAAATCTCGTCTTGATGGTTTAGAGTTAACGTTATCTCTCCACAGCCGAAGATTCTGTGTACCAAATTTGTTGTGATAGAGTGTACAAACCGCCAATGAGCTTCAACCTACAACGAAAACTGTCAAGTGCCTCCCCCCACCAGTTTTCAATGATTTATTAGGTAAAGAAAGTTAGTTATAAGGACTATCTCAACATACATATACAGTTTTCGTGTTTCTTTTATTTTTGAATTATGCTTTCTCAGTACCCAGACAAATAAAATGCACTCAAAAAGTGAGTTATAAAAAGATGTGAGGTTGCTTTTTCAACGTTTAGATTTCCTTGTCATCTTTTAAAGAGCATTACACTACCTTAACAGAAATGGAAACGCGATTGACATAAAATTTTATTCAATATTCTAAAGAAAGCAATCATCGTCAAGCAAAAGGCGCATAGTAAACAAATTCATTTTTCTCTCAACCTGGCTAAACCTTTCATCGGGTAATCCCAAAACAATTGTGTGAGTATATATGTATAAATATCACTTTAAATTGCACAATAAATAAAAAAGCAGATTAACTATTCGTCTACTATAAAAACTACTTATTTTGTTTTATAAATGTGATGTAAATAATTGTTGTTATCATAATAACGTTTGAAAATAATATTATTTATAAGGAATTGTTGAGACCGTCTACACTTACCTTGGCCAACCTTCAAAAGTAGAAACAGCAAATAGAGTTAATAAAGCATTTGGAACATTATCAAAATTGAAATCAGCATTTTTCCATTCTCTTTCACTGAGAATAGGATCGTCTAAACTCATATCTTTATATTCAATAAATTGACCTCTAAAAAGCATTCAAATATTAAAATGTACTATGAATTTCTATGTTTACAAGTAAATCGATCAAAACATTTCTACACATAATGAATATGGTCTACTAAACGGTCCTGATCTGTGATATTTAGAGACTTTACCGACTTCGAAATGGAATGAAAATAAACAAACTCATTTCAAACAATGTGACGTTGCTCAGTATTATTAAATATCGTCTTCAGGTCTTCAAAAAGTTGTTTGAAATAGAAGTCTTACAATTATGTATGATGATCACTGTGTTCAATAACTTCATAGTAATTATATACACAAATGTTTTCTTGATTTAATGTGACATGGCACTTTTTCTATCAATTTTTTTATAAACTGACAGTTAAATGGTCGGCTATCAATTATCTGGTTCTATGAAATAGGAGTCAGAAAGAAACTTACATTATAAACTGAAACATTCTATTACGACAGTAATTTATTCTGTTTAAAGTGGTCTTATTGACCATTATTAATGGTTATATAATATTCCCATAGTTTCAGTAACTTTTGATTAAATCATTTGTTTGAAAACCAAGCGAATTACTATGATTTTATTCATCAAAACTAACTTACTTGCAATCTTCTTCAACATGTTTTGATATATCTGTACATGAGTAAAATTTACCCTTGAATAACTGTACACCAATAACTGCAAACATGAATTCTAATAAGAATGTGACGAGTACGATGTTACCAATACTTTTAATGGCAATAATCATACACTGGACAACATGCTGTAGATTATAAATTAAGAAAAATTAAACAAAAATTTGTTATTTAATAAAATTTAAAGCTGAAATCGTTCAAACAGATTATATTGTTTGAGATTCATTCATGTTTTGTTGAATGATTGAGTTATTACATACAAAACGTAAAAGAGATTTTAAAAAAAATCAAAACAACATTCTTATAAAATAGTGAAAACAAATGGACTTTCTATGTGCAGAATAAACAACCTCAATATATTTGAGATGATGCCTTATTTCTTAACGGTTGTCATAATGTTTATTATCTTTCATGACAAATGTATGAGAAAGTAGCAATTCGTGTGTATATTGTTATTCGATAAACAGAAAATAATGTTAGATGATAACACAAACATCACTACTTAACAAAATCTCAGTATTTATTTTTCGAAATACTACATGTAAGTGAAAAATATGTATAATGCTTACTTTTAACCCTTTGGCTCGATTAATAGCTCTTAAAGGTCGAAGCACCCGAAGAACTCTTAAGATTTTTACTGCAGAAATTGTTTGATTTCTACAAACAAACAAAATACACCGTGTTAAACCTTTAATGTAATCAGATGAATCAAGATATTGTACAGAAAGAGTGTAATAAAAATCTAGATTGACAACGCAACCAATTATTTACTAGCGCGCATCAATGTGTATTTTTTTACAATCATCATTTATGTCATGGTTATTTACTAATAACATTATCATCTCATCTCTGTAGGATTCTTAATAACTTCACCTATCAGTTATTTCAAGATAATCCTAAAAATTAAAGGGTTGTTTTATGTTTTATGTTCATACTGCTGTTGCAGAGTGAATCTAATTATTTTTTAATGCTAATATGTATAAAAAACCCATATTAATTACAAAAAAGAATAAAGTAATGAATTATATGCCTAGCATAAACAACTTACTGTAACACGAATGAAACTAATGCTACGCAGACAACAATAAGATCAAGTAAATTGAATACACTACGACAAAATGCTCCTTCATGAAGTACAAATCCATAAGAAATCATCTAAAGTGCGATAATAGAATATATATATACAAATATTAGGGAAAATATTCATTTATCAAAAACAGAAATAATGAGACTTTCAGCATTCTGAACATCATCAACAACTACTCTTTGTTAAACTTCTTGAAGTATATCGCTAACGAGTGCCTGATGATACCCTAACTGGAATAAATCTGTCATAAATACAGCTTACCAATGTGGATTAATCTTCAAGGAACCTCTTCGGATAAAAAGATATTGGAGTTTTAAGATATTTATATAACTTTAATCAAATGCAACTTATTCTTCGCAAAATCACGAAATTACCTTTTATGGAGAATAAGATGACAGTCATTCATCTTTTGCACAATTTAGTAAAAAATAAATGATATCGTTATGAAATTAGTGTAGATTTTCAGCACTATTTGATAGATTAAAATCCGTTACCTGATGTAAGCACATATTTTATCATTTATTCTAATATGTATGTATTTGCTACTAGTTAATGATTATATGACATTATTCCAGATTTAGTTTACTGTAATTCAGAATGGAAATAATTACCGACAAATTGTTGCAATTAGATTTTGTTGAATAGTTTTTCAATTTTATACTTTCCACAAGTAATCAGAAAATCTCAATTCCAAGTGATTAATAGTACTAATTAAAACGTGATCAGTAGATAGGTTCCATGTTATCTTTTAGAACTGGAACATATATATGTATATTTATATATAATGGAGAATAACACTAAAATCATATACATGATTTTAGTGTTATCAACGTCTCCGATCTAGAAATTTTAATGTAAAAATTTTTTAGTCGGACTGGACAAAATCATAAGCGCTTGCTTCACGTAGAAGTCGTCGGAACTGACCTAGTTCACTTAGTTCAGAGAACTCAATAATATTCAGAGATGTACATGTTCATGTGCATAAACAATGACATTGAGTGATGAGAATAATTTAAGTGAGAACATCATTTTAAGTGTAAATTTTATAATTTATGTAACTTTATAAAACTAAAGTTGCATATTAGTCCCAAACTGATTTAGATAAACACAGTTTGTCATGTTAGTGACATTAATCACAATATATGCTGAAATTTTAGTATTTCATCAAGAACTTACTTTCAAAGTGATTTCCACAGTGAAAACACTGGTGAAAAAGTAATCAAACATGTTCAGAATCTGAAAACAATTATAGTTTGGAAAGAGAGAGAATAAAGAAATTCATTGTATATGTAATCTATGAATAGTTACTAGTTGTTTTGTACATACTTGAAGATATTTATTTATAAAATAACACAGCCATCAATGCAATTCAACGTAGTTCTTATCAATATCGAGTATATAATATTTGTCAATGCTATCAACGAACAAATAAAACGGATAATTATCAATTCATTCAACAAAATGTATTCTCATATATATTTCAGAACGTCGTTATTCGCCTATATAATAACAAAATTATAGTTTAGAACAGAGGCGAACTAATAGTGGTTAATATAAGAATGATTTACTTAAAGTTTATCCAAATCAACTTCATTTGAGGAACTGTATTCACTTTAAAACGCCTAATATCTTACCTTATATGGTAAATATATAATCGAAAGGTACGTAATGGACACCATTGTACGTGTCATTTTAAACACTAAGAGATATAACTACTAAGTCATCGTTTAATTCAAATAAATCATTTGAAAAAAAACTAATCCATAACAAATTATCGTCTGAGTAATATGTTTGATGAAAGAAAAGCAAATATTTATTAGTCAGGGAAAATTCATGTGTTCACCTATATATCATGAATATATGTACGAGATAATACTACCTAAAGAAGTGTAAATCTAAAGAAATATGCTACTGTTTACAATGAGGCGTCATCTGTAGTAAAATTGCAAAGAAATGAAACAGAACAAAAGGGATAACAAAGTGATAAACTCTAAGGATGTGAATAAATATATGCACACAGATTGCCAAGTAAGTAGTTATATATATATATATATATATATATATATATATATATATATATATATATATATATATATATATATATATATATATATATATATATTCAAAAATATTTTCAATAAAAGCAAATCAAAGCTTCTTGACTGACTTTCTGATCTGTTTGATTTTTATAAACTAACCGGTAACCAGAACGTTATAACTAACTTGAATGAATGGAATTATTTCAAATTGTTATATATCTGAATGTTATGCACTAAGAACTAACATGATGTAAACAGAGATCGGAAAAATAAAAAAATGTAGTGTATTTATTTACTATAAATAATAATTATCATTAATTTGGTTAAAATATTTCAATTTTATTATAAAAAATAACAATGAAAATAATCCGTACTCGATTTCTTGGAGAGTTTGCATGTAATGGATCTTCGGCAGCAAGTAAAATACTGCTTACCAAAATACAAACCAATACAATATTTCCGAAATGGGAGAAACAGACCACATTATGACAAAATATGCGAAATCTAAATCGTAATTAAGAGACATGGTTAAGATAAATTTCAACGGTAAATGCAAATCTTTAAATATGTCGAAAATGTATTTAAGAAATATTCATACATTACAGGTTTTTACTAGAATATCATTTTATTCAGTATAAGATGTAAGTTAAATCTGTACAACAAAATAAACAAATTGCATACTGATCGTTTTTACAAATCTACAAATTTTCCTGTTTTTGATTCAATCATTAAATTGAACTTTATTGGTCATTTATAATCTTTTTCTAAACGCTTCCGCCTTTTATACAGTTATACAGAATAAAGACGAATGATAACGTTATTATTATTTACCGTGTCAAAATATTCTATCTTTTGACCAGTTAACTATGCTGATATTTATTTAAAATGATTATTCTGTTTACTCTAAAACGTTTAGAAACTTTATGTTGGATAAAATTTGGACAGATTCACAACAAAAGATGTTTTTGCCAGTCTTACAAATGTTTGTATATAGTAAAATAAAAATTTCCAATTTCCAATGAGAGATATTTTGATATTGATAGATAACTTACTCTTTTTAAGTAATTTATGAACAGTTGGGAAGATATCATTTTTACAAAAGTATGGTGTACAGAAAACAAACTTTAAAGGCAAATATTTCAACAAGTTATTAATCAGTTTGTGCAAAAATGTTTTATTTATTTATTCAGTATTGTTTATTATGAAGTTTGTTTTATAAGCAAACGGTTTCCTAACGAAAGTGGAAAAGTATCCTTGGTTAATGAACGTGAAATGACGATTCATTAAATTGTCAACTAGTAAGTCATATTAATTGTGTATTTTAATATCTTCGTACAAAATCATTGAATTTTACATGGAAACCATACTTAACTGTATTTTCATAATTATTTCCCAAATTCTTTATATTATAAAATCTTGAGATCCTTTGTCGTTTTTAATTAATCCACCACAATATTAATCCAAGAACAAGCTACAAATTCATATGAAGTTATATTGATAAATTAGGTGGTTATAATTTTTTTTCCTTTAGTGTCTGTTACTTGATAGAATGCCTAGGTGAGAAATTTTAACAAAACTATATTTTATATATCCACCAAATGATTCAACAGAATGTTATGGCTAATGTTATTATTTTCAAAAACAGCGTATTTATTATTGATTTCCATTAAATAAACTTTCACAGTCAATAAGTTCGCATGATTTTATGGAAATATTTTCAATTTACACTGTCTTCAAAGTTTTTGGAGGATAATGACCTAATGAAGTTAGAATTATATACAGAATACGCTTCAAGAAGTCTATTAATTAACAATTCTTGAGAAACGTATCCAATTATGCTACCACAATGAAAGGTTAACCTTATTTAGAATTTGATTGTAAATTAATTGTTTTAGAAATCACTGACAACATAGAAAACAAAGAATAATTCGAATGTTTACTTGTTCGTATCAGCAAATATAAAGAATGCTGAATGAGGTGGCATTGTTCGACTATCTTGTGGTGACATGTCTTTCTGATCGTCTCCATCTTTACCATTTAAATCTCCTTCTTCCTCAACATCTTCATCCTCAGCAAACATTTCTTCATATGTTTGATCTTCATTATCTAAAATGAGAAATGATTCATGCAGCTAATAAATACCGCTAAGAATAAAAAGAGTAAATTATCATGGTACTGAGTTGTGAATTTCAATGAATCATTATATCATTACTATATATATATATCAGGTCTTTACAAATGCTTCCAGTACGTCGACAATCCAAAGCTGTTTATAACATTTACAAACAAACATCACCGTTACTAACTTCTCCAGCGCACACTCATAGAGTGTGGCGCAAAGTTAAGTACACAAATCTGTACTTATTAAATGAGTAAAAACGAGTTAAGGAATGACTGAAGTGATATATATATCAGACCATTCACGATATTATTTGCACCTAAATCTGTGAGAAATAATTTTCAATTATTATAGAATGTGAATACAGTTTATAACTTACCTGTTCTTTCATACTGTTTAATTTTCATTCTATAAGTAAAAGAGTATGATAAAAATATATATTTCCAGTGGGGACATTTGTAGTTAGATACATACTACTTGGTTGAAAGATAATAAATATTTATGAAATTTATGTTAATGAGGAACTTCAACGTAATCAAGATTTACTATCACGTGGAAACGTGTTTCAGTCGAAATATTCAACTTTGTATCAGTATGTCAACATGGGATTAGCAAACATAACGATAATACAAAGATAGGAGTATAAACAAACCATTGAAAAACTAAGGATAAGGATAGAGATCAATAGAGCAAATAAAAGTTTAGAGTAAACAGTCTTGAATAAAACTATGTTCAAGATTAAAAATTATTTCCGAGGGAATTGGCATGAATTTTCATCAACAGATTATGAACAAGTAACTAGAAGCCCTAATTCCGTCAACATGGCTCAGAATATTGATAAACAATAGTACAGAACGATAAAATGTATTAGTCTGACCAACGCTAGCCATGTTTCAACCTCTTAACATGTTAATAATTATAAAGCGATGTCAATACTAGTAGCAGTTATATGTTCTACAGCTCCAAGCCCAACATGTATTTCTTTTAAATATCCCATTAGTAATAAAATTTACTCCTAGTGATATCTTGTAATGGTATTTTAGCAAGGGAAACATTGCTTGATTAGTTAATCGCCAAGAACATGGAGCTTAGAAGTAATGAGTAAACTTCAAAGCAACCATATCTCACATCCTAACAGTAAGAACTATAACAAACACGACAAACATTGTCCTAAAGGTAATCACAGAGTTAGATATGATAGAAAATCAGACGAAATTAACATAGTACTACAAGAGCAAATAAGATGAGATCTAGATGATGAAATGTCATCAAACTCAAAATGTGATGGGAAATATGGAATATAAGCACATGCTGCACTGTGAGCGTTTTCCAGCAAAGTCATCTAATATCTTCACACATAAATCCCAACTACTGTGTACGTTCTAACTGGAGACTTTAAATTCCACTCTACTGTTGCTGTTAAAACTATTGATTATTTGAATTCTCGATAGAACGGATCAAATAAATACATAATCCAAGACGGTAAAAGATATGATTGCTTAATAAAGATAGATTGATATATATCATTTTTCACCTACAGATGACTAGAATCGTCAGGTGAATATTTATTGAATAACGTTCCTTGAAAAAAAATTAAATAAAACATACACTGAATTTAATTCATTTTCTCGCTGTTCTGGAGGTGGTGCAGTTTGTTCAACAGTCTCTGTAAGTTCTGGTGTGTCATTTTGTTTTTTTAGTGCATCACCATTTCCTTCTTCCTCTTCCTCTTCATCTTCGTTTAAATTATCGACAGCAATAGCCAAGAACACGTTCAATAAAATATCTGATAAAATACTTCATAAGAAAATATTAGCTTTATTCATGTTACAAATAACAGACCTCCAACAAACTGGTGCTGAATATATATGCTGACTTACACTAAAGTAGTGTGTTGTTTTTTAATATTTTGACAAATCGAAATCATTAAAATAAAACTGAGTTCATGAGGGCTCATCAAAATAATACTTTTTCTTATTATCGAAAATTATCCAAATTGTAATTCTGAACATTTTTATTAAACTATAATCAAAGTATTAAAATGATTCCATTAAGAATTATCCAAGTACATTAATATTAATTTAGGTATGACCTTTGTGATCCAGTCTTAAACAGAAAGCGTTATCAAAATAAATAAACGAAGAAACTTATACATTTGATGAACATAAAGAAATATCGAGTATTTCTGAATTAATCTGAATGAATGGATGACTATATAGACATTTTATAAGGGTATCATAGTATTCATACGAATTATCAATTTTTATATAATTTGAAACAGTCAAAAGTGCTTTTATTTTAATTTCGACTTTTTTTCCGAATGACATAATTTACATATATATTGGGATACTAATAGTTTCATCCATCATAAGAATGAACACTTACAATAAATTTCCACATATACTATGAACTTGGTATTCGTTATTGTGTCAAACGTACATAATATCTATTTCAACAAATTCTCTTGGCAATATACAACCTTTTTCTAAAAACATCCAAAAATTACAATCATACAACGTCATTTTACTACCAAAAAAGAATCAAATGACCTTCAAAGGATACAATTGCCACATATGAAAAGAAATATGAAGTAGATAACTACAACTCCATACCAAGGACTATTTTCATATGCTCTCATTCCATGATACATAACTTCATTCCAATCTTCACCAGTAAGTATCTTCATTGTGAGGAGAAAAATAAAATGAAACAAGGAACTAAACATGTTTGTACATGAAGACAATGAATAAACTAACACATTTAAGAATGTAAAATATTTATTTTAAACAAATTAGTTCATCTAATCCAGCCTTGATTAGCCGCTAAATCATTATATGCGTACAATTCATAGTGAACTATTCAAGTATTGATTATCTTTTACAATGCTCTACAAATACAAGATATCTTACAATGAAAATAGGCCGTTTGCTGAAGTCTATATGGCCTAAAACTCAACTCACTTTGTGACTAGTAAAGAATCTGTCCTAACTTACACTATCGTAAGGTAAATACATTCATAGTAACTAAACATGTAATGCAAAATATATCTGTGTTGAATTCTTTTCAACAATGAGATAACAATAAAGTACTGATTAAGTTCAAAATCAACCATTTAATCAGTTAAGAACAGAGTCATACTAAATTGAAAGTATGGTAGATTCGTTTATTTTAAAAAACAATTTCATGCTGAATAATATAAGTGATTCCCATAACTCCATTTCCAACACACATTTATTCCCTTTTCACTCATAAGTCGGTATGCCAAGATAAGACCTAAAATAATTTTGAAATGATTCTTTGTATTTTTTCTGGTGATCTATGACTGATGTCAAATTTTAATTAAATTTTATGGCTTACATAACTGACTTGTCGTAATTAGACAGTCACTGAAAACCAGTAAGTATGAATCAACCGCATCATCGTAATACGATACACTCTACCAGTGTGCATCGAAGACTCTTCTAGAAAGAGTACACGACCTTCAAGTTTCATGACCTTTAGACCGGTAAGGATATATCCAAAAGTGTAAGTGATAAATTTCAGTCAACTCATCAGTCAGTCATTCTGTTACAACGTAGGACCAGGCACATATGTGCATCGGTCCAAGTTGCCACACCCTATTAGCACAAACAAATGAACATCAAATCCGAAGAAGCAATTAACTCAATGGTGTAATATATAAAAGAAAGATTGCACATAAGGATATAGTACAGGAAAGAAGTTAGTTTGTAAAAAGAAAGATATGAAATAATTTAAATATCATAGTTTAAGGGAAGACAGAGAGTGGATACACATACGCCATTGTGATCGATTCTGAATCATGTCACCAAGAGTCTCCAACCATTGGTTATAATAGTCACGCGGACCCCAAACAAGTAGTTTGCATCTACCAACATGGCTCAGACCAGATATTAGTATCTTCAAGCACTGATGCCACGTTTTGGTTTGGTCATCCCTAACTTTCTTCCAAAATTCCCCAACACTAGTAAGCATTGCGCGTCGTGGTAATCAGTGTTCAAGCATACGCAACACGTGGCCCAATCATCTCAGTCGATGAAAATTCACAACCTCATCAACTGATTTACCATCACCCCCTAATACCCTACGTCTAACCTCACCATTACTTACCCGGTGACCCCAACAGATGTGGGCAATATTTCTAAGGCATCTGTGGTCAAATACTAATAGCTTACAAGTGTCTTCTACTTTCAATGACCACGTTTCGCAGCCGCAAAGTAAAACAGATCGAACTGCCACGCAGTATACTCGTCCCTTAATTGATAGACGGATATGTCGCCTTCGCCATAGGTGACGTAAGTTGACATAAGCCAAAACAGCTTTCTGAATCCGTGCTGAGATTTCGTCAGACACCAATCCATTGGGGCTGGTCAGACCTCCAAGATAAGTGAAGTTGTCGAAGCGTTCGACCACTTCACTCCCTATCCTTAGTTCAGGTGTTGACGCAGACCAGTCTTGAAGCAACAACTTGCATTTAGAGGGAGAGAAGCGCATTCCAAACATCCTGGCATTGTTGCTTAGTGCGACCAAAAGACGCTGCATTTTATCAGCGTCTTCACCAAACAGGACTATGTCAGCTGCGTATTTTAAGTCGACAAGTGGACCTCCTGGAAGGAGACCAACACCCGAGAAGTCAGTCGACGAGAGCGTTGTTGCCATCAGTAGGTCTATCATGAAGTTAAACAGAAATGGAGATAGTAGGCAGCCTTTCCAGAACACCACTTGAGGTCACAAAAGCATATGACAGTTCGCCATAAGCTCTGACTCGACTGGCAGTGATACAGTAAAGAGCCTTCACAAGGTCTATGTAATTCTGAGGTACGTCTTTCAATGACAGACACTGCCACAGAACTTCTCGGTCGACAGAGTCAAATGCTGCTCTTAATTCAATAAGGACCACCATTGTCGGACGCCGATAAGCATGCCTGTGTCCTAGAACTTGACGAATGGTGAATATGTGGTCGATACAGCCACAACCAGGTCTGAAGCCAGCTTGATTCTCGTGCGTTTGCAGTTCACGAGTCTTAGTTATGCGTCCGATAATTATCGAGGCTAGTATTTTAGATGCTAATCCCTCTATGGTTGCCACAGGATGATTTTGACCCTCTCTCATATATTGAGACGATAGGTGATTGCAACCAGTCACATGGGATTACATCCAGTTCCCAGATTGTGACCAAAATGTTAGTCAACTCAATCGCCAAAACCGGACTACCACACTTAGAGAACTATGGAGCCAATCCATCTGGACCAGATGCTCTTCCCCATTTCAGATCAGCTATAGCTTTTGAACTTCAATTAAAGTCGGTGTGCCTACTTCAACGTCCAATTCAGTCTGTTTAGGAATGGTAACTAGCTGTAGAGTAGCTGAAGGTCAGCTGAACTGCTCCATAAAGTGTTCCGCCCATCGTTCTAAACGTCTGGGTTGAGAGCAGATAACCGTGTGATCTTTTTTCGAGATAGTCTCACTTACACTTCACTTCTTAATTCCAGTTTCTTTTATTAGTCTGAAAAGCTGTCTGGTGCTACATACAGCCGCTGACTTTTCCTTCGCTTTTGCTTTCGTTGCCCACCACTGCTCACGGTCGATCCTTAGACTTTTGCTTAACCTAGATCTGACTTGTTTTCGCTAGTTGTCGTGTTCGGAGCCAGATAGAATAAGTGCAATAGACTTAGCAGAAATCCACTGGTTTTCCGTTACCCTTTGATTTAAGTCACTAGCAGATGTCACTCCTGATTCCACAGCTGCTTGTATATCTTTCCAAACAACATCTGGGTCAGCCTCGTTTTCAAAACTGACTAAGTTTAACCACAGTTGTTTCTGGAATCCACTTTTGGCTTCCTCGTCACTGAGTTCAACTCTGATGGGTCTTCTTAATGTAGCTTTTCTGCATCCAGAGAGGCGCGAGCAAATGCACGCCCGTATAAGAGCATGAGCCTCTCAAACGATGACTGATAGCAATATGGTCTATTTGAGTCCATCGTTGGTTTGGTGAAGGTGGTCACCATGTTAGACGATGTCTCTCCTTATGCCTAAAATTACTGCTTGCTAAAAATAAACGATTTTCTGAACACAGTCGCAGCAGACGGTCACCATTATCTGTTCGCTGAGCCGGAATACTAAAATACCCGCCTAAATGTCTTCCTTTTTGGTTTAAACTATATAACTAGGCATTAAAGTCATCTGCTACGAGTACTATGTCTGGGTGCTTAGCTTAATGAAGAAGTTTAGAAAGCTTTCTGTAAAAGCCATCTTCCACTTCATCTGAGCTGCAGTCAGTGGGAGCGTAGGAAGAAATGACGAAAAGACAAGGACGTGTGTTCCTATCCTTTCAAGTTCTTACGGAGCCGTTTAGTCGAACAACACATGTGCGACTGTTAACAGGGATCCGTTATAATAGTGTTTGCTCTGCCCTCGTACTCAGTGCTATGCCTATACACGCCAATTCACGAGAAGCAGCCATCAGGTCGCCAGATACACGGAGGGTGTATCTTGTCAGCTCTCCGTTTTGCCGAGGTGAGGTCAAGTGAATGGGCACACTAGGCTCCTCTATGCGTGTCTCGGAGGCACAGCATACATCAATGGTTCGAGATTCTATTATTTTAACCAAGGAAGCTTGCTGACCGAGATTTGCATAACAATCTCCTAGTATCTGACGTGAATAACTGCTTCATAAACGACATGGTTAAACACTACTGGTTACACCGTAATTGCTTGTTTTGTTTTTATGCCCATATTTAAGAATACACAATTCGTTTCTACTCGAATTTTGCTTTTAGTATTGGTTTCAGTGACAGAGATCAATTACATGTTATTGGAAAAATCGGATTTGTAGAATATCCTATTGTAATCAAAATTTATGGTACCATGATTAATTATGTCAATAAATCTGACTGTTCACCAACCTGAAATACAGTAAGCATAGCTTGCAAAATTCCATCAAAATTAGCACGAGGTTTTTCATGTGCTATAAAATTGAATCGACCACCGAATAATTGCATACCAAGTAAAGAGCAAATAAGAATGAATATAGATAATAGAAGTAGTAGACTAGCAACTGATCGAACAGATTTTAATAATTTCCCTACTAAACTTCGCAAACTTTCCCAGTACCTAAAATTTCAAAACCAAATAGAAAAAAATGCTTGATTAGTAGGATAAACCCTATCAAGGCAGTCAAACAAGATAAATTTTTGACAAGTTATAGTTTGCACAAGAATCTGTTTAATTATTCATTAAATTAGTGTTTCGGTGTTTTGAAAAACAAAATTAATTCGTATTATAAGTTCTATTTAGACATCTACTTTCATACATTAGACCAAATACTTAATAGAAAATTTGTAATTAGGGTATTTTTGATACTCTGAGACTTTACAAATATTTTAATTCAGAATGACCGATTATTTCCATCTGTTTTCAGTTTTATTTCTTCGTACAAAGTAGTGTAGGAATTAACAAAACGTTTAACAGTACATCTGAAGTTGTCAGGAATAAATTCAAAAACTTATTAGAGTAATTTAGACAGGAGATTTCTAATCATCAAATCATTTTTGTGTAAAAATAAGATTGGTTCACAAACTATATGATTACTTCAAATGGTCAATTATCCAGTTATTTTTGTTGAATCCTTAGCTGATAATGTTGTCTGGAAAGACAATGAAGTTTGATAATAAAAAAACCTATCCAGCTTAATAAGTCAAATATGATTAAAATCATTATCCTGATTTAAAAACCTATCCATTTTTTTCAAATACTGGACAAAAGAGTTTGAAGCAGTTAAGCATACATGGTGGTGGAATTGTAGACCAGGAAAATATCATCGATATTTCATTAACGCTCGAGTGTTTAACACATGGAAGACAATTAAACAATTATCTGAAGGGAAATCACTCTATTTTGCATTATGTAAATCATTCATATTTACAGTAATTTTAAAAACATAAAATGTTTCACATCAGTGATTTTTCACCTAAAATGTACGGAGTGATTCAGTCTACTCATGAGAATTAATTAAAGTCATTTTTTACAAACAAACAAGTTTATTTTATGTAAAAATAGAATAAGCGAGAGATCATAATGTAATCAACGACAAGTCTGAGTTCCTATTAATTGAACAGAAAAAACCTATCAAAATAAGGGATCAAAGACAGAAGTTTTACAAATGGAAAAAATATCAAACGATCGAAATAAGATATGCTGACGTACACACAACTCAACGAAACAGAATATCTAGCAACAAATGGTTCTCATTATCCGAATGACCTTCCACCATGAAGAACCTCAGTTTACAAACCTTGTTAAGAGATATTATCCTGAGATAAGTCTTTTTATGACTTGCAGTACATAACTGAACTATCATACTAATTAGAACTGTAAGATAACTGAAACTGACATATTGTAGAGCAAATACTTCATAGTGGAAGCCACTCATCAGGTCAAAACATTGTACCGTCAAATATGCAGTCATTATTTTGACAATTCATAAGACTTTTTAATAAAACAATTACGCAAATACAAACTATATTATTTTCATCACTTTGATATTGAAGTACGATTTCGCACACTTACTGAGTCAATTTAAATATCCTGAGAAGTCTTGCACAGCGTAACACAGAAACACCCATCGGATTGAGTAAACCAGATTTCACAAAAATCAATTCCAATATAGAAAATATAACTACAAAAAAGTCGAAGCGATTGAACAGTTTTGAAATATAATCTGAGAAACCAGATGCCCCCATTTTAATTAACATTTCCATTGTGAATAGCATCACAAATACAACATTAGCAAAATCTGAAATAAAAAATGAACACAACACTTTGCTCAACTGTAAAACTCTAAGTCTCTTATAAAATTTCACTAAGATAATGAAGTATAAAATTAAAATCGTTTTCTAATTGGATGGTGCATTTACTTTCCGATTTTCTTTCGACAATTACTAAACTATTAAATTCTAACGATAAGAAAATGAATGCATTACTCTGGTCTCACCGAAAAACAAAATTGAGTCGCATAACAAACAGTTATTATACATTATTTTTAACTAATCCCAAACCCTTTACACTTTTATTCTCTAGTTAACATCAAAAATCGAGTGATGCAGTGGACGGTCAATAACATCCACATCCTAACTAATTTGATCGATGTATGTACACAGTTTCACCAATTCAGTTGCCTAATTTACCAAAAATTGTAAGATCAAACTTGATATTCAAGAATCAAGGTTAGTCAACCACTAAACATTGTCTATACTTCTATTTTTAAGTTAAAATGTTAAACAAAGTATTCTGTGTTTATCCATTTATTCTTCTTCGTGAGGTATACAGGTCACTTAGTATAGGAATACTAAAGATTGAATTGACAAATACAACGGGATATTATGCTCTTCAACAGCATTCGACTGACTAAAATGCTCTACAAGAAAATAACTACATCTTTGTTAACTCATACTTGCCAAACCACACTAGCTATATGAAGTTTTTTCGAAAAGACAAATGAATGCAAAAAGTTATACTGGTATGACAGTAACCACAAGAGCACTTTATACAACACTTAATTTAATGTCCATAAACAATAATGAAAACAAAAATAAAATAACAGTAACACATTTCAATTAAAATCAGTCGACCAACCTTGGAATTCGTCTAACCATTCTGGTTGATTGTGATGTTCAGTGGTTAAGACTACTGTGTTAAGAAAAACCAAGATAATAACTAATGCAAAACATTGGCGGCTGTTGATAAAAGCAATCACAGCTCGTCGTGTTCGTTTACGGAATTTTCTTAAACGGCTAAAATTTTTCCAGTGAAAATCAACAGAAAAGGGATTTGGTTCAGCTAATAATTATCAAAATTTTTACAGTTATTATTTCGTATATCATTTTCCAGGTGTCTTTGTTCAAACTAGTTTCTGTAATATATGCAGTCAAGTTTTATTATTAAAGAAGAACAACACTGGAAACGTCTCAAATATCCCACAAAGACCTCAGTTCCTATACGCGATTAATAAAGTCTAAAAGTCATTTTTAGACTCATTTGGAAGGAAATAATGAGTAACTTAGTGTATTGCGCTTGTTCTGAAGATATAATTTAAATATGAAATAAAGAACTTCGTTTTATGCAGAGCGTTTAATTTGATGTCATTTTGTGTTATTTATGTATCAGGGCAAAGTGAGTTGTGATTGTCCATGACTGTAGATTTACGTGTCCAGTTATATTAAAGAGCAGAGACATTATGTTATATGTTATTTCACTATGAACTACACAGGAGATAACACATGACTCCTAAATACTTTTTCAAACTAACCTCATTGTGTTATATATGGTTCTCAATCAATCAAACATTGGAATTTTTGGTTGAAATTTAAGACTAAACTTTCCGAATCCATGATTTCACTGGACTTCTAGTTATAACAGTTCTCAGCACCTTTTTTACCTAGTCAGCACACTTGAATTATATGGTAGTTTTCGCCACGAGCGAGCATGAGCTGAAGAATTATAAGGGGCGATGAAAAAGAACATTTTTTCATCCTTGGATGGTTCTCTTCAGCAGTATTTGCCGAAAAACCTATAAGTGACTGAATCTGAAGAGAGTAACTGAAAATAATTCATCACTGGCACGAGTAAGATACCCATAAGTGATGAAAGCATGTGAATATCGCAATACATGACTAATTTGTCGACCATGAAGTTTTGTCTCACTGACCTAGAGATACCAGGATCACTTCTAAACCTGAAGGTTCCCGGTTCAACATTCACTGTATTGGTAAGTGAAAACCTCCGTGGAGACTAAGATAGGTCAAAACAACTGTTCAACTCTTTACGATTTTCACTGATTCTCAGATTGTTCCCAGTTTGTGATAAAAAAGGTGCATAAATACAAATATTAGCAACTACTAAAATAAACTAGATTTGTGTCAAAATAAGTGTCCAGTCAAGCTGTTGATCGTCACAACGAACGACGCCGAATCTGACAAGCACATTAAATAGCAGTAGGATAAACAAAACGTTTTATAAGTTCATTTATACATAGAATATAAGATGAGTTGAATATTAAATACTCCGCGTATGTTTTGATTAGAGTTTTCTGAATTACTAAAATGTATTGTAACAAAATAAGCAAAATTACTCATAATTAATAGTTTACGCCATCTAGCAATTCGACTTAATCATTCAAATGAAATGTAAAATGTCAAGTTTTATTTGTCTTGATATATCTATAGTTGATATATTATTTTTTAATGATAGGTTTGACAAATAATCACTTTTTAATATATAGATTTTATTCACATATGTTCTCAAGTTACTAAGATCATCTGTTAATTACTATATTGCATCCAAGGGAAATGTGTTGCATTGTCGAGCCTAATATAATTGTATTAAAATAACTAAACTACCAACAATTGATGTAAAATACACTAGAAGGCTTGGAAAGTTTTAAGTCACTTATATTCAATTCAAAAAATTCAGATAATGAGACTGGCTTTAGATAAATTATATAATTGCCACTTACCGAAGTGTGCTATGACAGTGTGTTTTAACTACCTCCTCAACATGCATCTCGGGTTCCTCTTCAATTAGCCCATCACCACCATCAACTAAAAAAATTAAATATTTAACTAATTTCAGTGAAACAAATAAAAACACAAAAAGTATGAACTGTTGTATCTAGAAGCCGCTGACCAACGTCACGTATCCCATCACCAATCGAAATCATAATTGTAATTTGGTCTACTATTAATTTTGTAGCTTAGTGTCAATTACACACCCAACCAGCATTATTGACTTTGAGCTAGCAGCCAAGTTACTATTGGTCATCTATTCGCTAGCTCTTCTGTATGTTAAACTTTTGATTTCAGAAGTACCAACCAGCCCCTACTATATTTACATTTCAAACGAAAGTGTTTTGTGTACAGAAATACCAGATTGAATGGCACCATATGATGAAAAACTAACAATTACACATAAACAAACTAAAAGTGACTATGAATCTGGGAGATAAGGAGTAATAGACTAGCAATAAATTATGAATAGTAAATCGTATTGCGGTAATTTATTAGTTAACCAAAAGCTTATAATAAAAGGAATAAATATACATGAAAAACTATTTATTCAGTAATTATACAATAAAATTATAATTAATAATCAATCGAAAAACCAGTTCTAACTTCACTAATATTTATCCCATTATAACATGTACTCAATAATTGAACTAGACAATTATTATTGATATGAGAAACAATTTTTCTTGTTAAAATATAACAGTTACATTATAATACTTCAAAATGAAATTAATTACAATATTAGGTTGCTATAACCAAAATGAATGATTAATTATTAACCAATAAGAAAATAAAACATTTAATTTAGTAAATAAATCTATCTATTAATTTTAAATCATGAAATTGTTAATATAATTAAAATTGAATTTCTCTAAATATGAATGACAAACATAATTTATAAATGACATATACAGAATACTATACAGATATCCTATTCATCTACAGTTTCAATTCTAATAAATTTAAATTAACTAGCCATTTATTTCTTAAATTTTAATTGTTAAATACTTTTTAATTTTATGTAAATTATGAGTAAAAGACTAAAAATATCAATTATCAAGTATTATTTTTGCAGTAGATAAACGTTTCATCTAAAAAGTAATTACTATTTTGGTGAAGTTTTATCATCTCAGCTGGATAGTTTGCTCATGGTACTTTCATCGTTATTCTAAACGAAATCATCAGCACAAACTTCATATAGAAGTCTTCTACTCCACCATAATCATCCACTTGAGCTACAAATCTCTACCCTGATTCAAAACAAAGAAAATATGGTCTATCGAAAAGCGATCAACTCTGATACATGTCACTCATTGTCGTCAATCATTGGTTAAAAATCGCTCGAACCTTTGCCAGACAGTCTGCATACGCCTACATGGTTTAGTTCGCCTTTCGATGGTTTCATGGACTGACCTAAGTCCTTGGTTTGTCTCCCTTTACTTTTCTTCTACCCTATTCCCATAATAGATAATAACTCCCGCCGATGTAGGCGGTGATTAAGTATATATACGCATGTCCTAACAACATCAGATGATGAAAACTCACAACCTCATTAACTGATTTGCCTTAATTACTTAGTACCCTATCCCTAACCTCAGTATTGCTCACTCAATAGTCCCAATATACACCACCTACCCTTCGAATAAACCTATCGTCAAATAATAACAAACTTAAAAATATCCTTTGCTTTTAATTAGCCACGTTTCACTCCTATAAAGTCAAACAGAGCAAATTGGTGTTCATTAAGCCCGTACGTTGACGGACAAATAGACATCTAGTTTACGATTCGGGTGAAGTAAATTGATAAAAGCCAATCTAGCCTTTTGAATCTGTTAAAAGATTGTGTCAGATATTGACACACTACGATTGATGCGACATTCGAGGTACAAATATATTCCATCTATTGACAATTATCAAATGATATAAGAAAACTAACCTGATTCTATATCTTGACTTTCTTTATCATCACCTTCAGAATCACTTAGTTCCTCTAAAATGAAATTTCATAAAAAATAGAAATCATAAGAAACATGGCGGAAATTTGATGGATTGTTTTCTGTTCACAGTTAAAAAACAATGTGATAATATTGTAGTTAAGACATAAACATATTAACAGTTGTAGTAACAACAATAACAACGATAATAAATAGCGAAGGAGGTTGACAACAATGATTTACTCATTAAAAGTGAATGAATCATACTAACAAGAGAGCAATATATGGAGCACAACACTAAGCTTATTATTGATTGATGTGTCCACCTTTTATTTTACATACATATATACACACACAAAGCAGATTTTCAACCTGAATGCGTATACATGTAAAAATACACATATGTAAAGTGTAAATCACAAGAATTATTCTTTTTTCAATAAAATGCACAATAAGTAATGAATTGTTTTTACAAAAACACCATTTACTAACTACTATTTTGCAAAACATTTTACTTTAAATTTGAACAGTTTTGTCTCCTGGGGAAGAAAACCAAAAAGTTAAGACAAAAAATTGAGCAAACTAAGACTGAGAAGAAATCAATAGGAAATACGTTACTGAATAACTAAATAAGTCTTGATAAGTGTAATATGAAGATGTTATATGAAGTAGTGGAAAATATTTTTTTATCCGAGTAGAAATAAAACTCGATCAGAAGGAGCCTGGATTAATTCACTTATTATAAAGAGTTTTGCATCTTTTTAATAGTTTAAGTAATATGATAATCTGAATTTTTACGATTTCATTTCACATTATACTATCACTACTATTCTCATTGCTTGACTAAACGGTTATGTTTTTTCAGTAGGCTGCCATAACGATAATATGTGAATAAAACAGTTGTTCTAGTGAATGAATGAGCTTCAGAAAAAAGTGAAAAGTATTCTTGATGAGGTCATATTTTTCAGAATTAATTCTAAGAATTTTGGAAATATATGAACCACGTATCATAGCAGTTCAAACATAATTTAAATATTATGTACATTGATACAGATACACTGTTTGACTACTGAATAATGATTAATAAAGCGTTTGTTTAATCCTTAATGCTGGTCGAATTCTATAAAGTTACCATATTTAGTCCCTTGGTGTTGTTCGGACACTACGGATTTGTGGAAACAACTGAGATTGTAGAGGTGATTCCATCAAGAGTGAATGTGTACCTTGTTAACGAATCCCTCATAGAACAAAATGTAAACCCACATTTTCCTACCAACATCCTAACAGATATGAATATTTTATACAAATAGTCCCCTTTATCATCTTGAAGAGAACAAGAACAAAGATTCTAACCGACGGAATCTTCGTTCTTGCTCTCTTCAAGATATGAATATATCTATGCTATTATATATGGTAGCTCAAAAATGTGTCTATTCATATTTTAAAAATGATTCTTAAGATCAACAACCTAAGAAGAAATTGTGACATTTAATAACATTTATTATTAATCTGAGTAACCATTCATATAAATCCCGTACATTTTTCTATTACATTATACTTGGTTACACATAACAAAGGCTTGTAGACTTTCATTATTCAAACTGTTTTCAGTTCTCCAGAACTAAGAGTATGAAGTTTATTGTGTCGTGAATATATGAAAATCATATGAGAACTTTTATGCAACATGGTTTTACTGTATGGGACTCTTTAAACATTCCTGATGCCTTAAACTTAAAACCTATTTGGATAATTTGTATCAAAATAAACCTTATATAGTAATCTATCAGTTTGTTTCAGTGTCAAAATCAACTGTCGTTTCTTCCAACTGTGAACGAAAATTTTTTTCATTTAGGGAGATCACATACTACAAATTTTTATTAACTACGTAAAAGTGAAATGTCCTTGTATTTACGAGATAATTACGTCAACATACTATAATTTTAATTACTATAGAATAGTTGAAATGTCTTCAACATTAGACACCTATTTCGTCCTATCTGGGACTCGTCAGATAATGTACTTGTGTCCCGAAGTTGATGTCTACTTTGAGATTCAAATTCCACCTATTTTATATAAACTTGTGAAAAAATAGCTATATCGAGGTGATCCACACAGCATGTACATTAAGTGTCTAAGACTAATGAGAATCCAATCAAAATATCAACAGCGGGATAATCCAAATCATTACAAGTTAGGATTCAACTTTATTAATGTGAAAATGATCAATTACTATCGATAATCTACGTACTGTTTCTCACACAATACTTTTAACCGTTAAAATATTTAAGCACTGATATAATTTGTATACATCGAGCTATATTACAATGTAAATAATCAATACTAATAATCAGTTAATTAATTTACCAGCTAATTCAATCCATTCTTTATAACCCATATAATCTTGTTGTTCACGTTTTTCTTGTCTTTCTTTACGAAACAATAAGGTACGATCTATTTTTTCTTTTTCCTTACTGAATTCGCTGGAAAACAGAAATATACAATAACATGTGAGAAATAAGCTTACTTAAACTGTCAATACGATATTAGTTTCATTAAAAGCAATTAGTCCCTTTTATAAATCACGATACAACAATGGGAAGACGGAGTTGATCTGAAATATGTGATGTATTTGCGCTATACATTTCCAACATTCTAGTCATACATATACACATATATAAATTCAAGGTAAATTTAAACCCCTCTTATGTGTACAAAAACAATTTATCATAATCTTGAATTTACCTTAATAATCCTTAAGTCATTCTATGGCTTAGGATAACGCGACAATTTCTTGGTCTTTCTATACTATGTAAAATTGTTTCTCCTCTTTGTTACTTTTTATTTGAACTTTCATTTAACTGACCTGGGTGACACGAGATCGAATCCGCCAGGGAGCAGTAGTTCCCTCAAGATTACAGGTACACCTTGCTGACGAGTACCGAGTAGCACGAAACCCGGGTCCAGGGTTTCCTGTTGACTACCTCCAACCACCATCTAATTTTATTAATTTTCATATTAAATGCCCTGACAAGTATATATGTGGCCAGATTGTTCGAAATGTATAGCTCACATACATCACATTTTTCAGATCAACTCCGTTTTCTCATTGTTCTATCGAAATTAGTTTCATTCATTACTGAATGATATTAGCAAAATATATATATAATAACATTGAAGAAATAAACTTAATTAGAGTGCATAGAAAAATTACTGAGAAATCTGTTTTATTTTACTTTGGTATTATACATTAGTGAATAATCATGATTACATGCAAAAAATGAAGTTCAAATTATTCATGAATTGCTTGAAATGTAATTTTATGTTAGCTTATCACCTTGAAAAAATTCAGATTTTCCACTTCAACTGATTCATAATGACTTTACACTCAATATACGATGCCATCTGTGGTATTTATCTTATGAAAATGTCGTCTAAAATGTGAAAATCATGTCAGCATAGTAGCGTAGTTTCTATTTAGTTGTTTGTCTACAAGTGTTGTTTTTTTGTTTACAAAAAAATTGACCAACAAAAAGACCTATGTCAATAATTTGTGAATATTTCAATAGGCTAATAAATGTCCACATTTGTTTAGATTGGATAACAACATTTCAGTGATATGAAGCAGATTTTGTACATTAAATGGATTTTCCATTCAAATGAAGCATTCAGAAACGCCTATTTTTACGTTTGTTAAAAAAGACAACTACTAATAGTCGTTAGACAATCTAGGTAATAAAACAAACCTTCCTCGTGATTTTTTATAAAGTGTTGTAAAGCGATTTGTAGAAAAAAACAAGCTCAATGATTTGATGTAACCTATGATAAATGTAGGCTTTGTAAGGAAGATTTTATACATATGTATATACATTTACAAAATTGAATCCAGCTTTTAAAATTGAAATTAAAATCCATCTACATAAATACAGTCAGACTAGGAGGAATGATGTTGCCCGTTTCATCAAATATTACCCTATGAGATTATAAACTTAGAGTACTCCTAAACAGTTTTACTTATTTCAAGATTATTATTTTTAGAACAGAACTTCATTATCCGATTACTCTATTACTTTAACACGAAAATCCCGGTTTATAGGACAGAAACTAATTTATCAAAAAAACATAATATTGTAAAAGCAAGGGATTTTATAGTTAAACTAGAAATGAGATTTGTCAATAAACTGAGAGATTTGATAAGATATTCAGGAAAATTAAAATTATTTCATTGCCAAAAATGTTATTCAAACACTGACTTTTTATCACAAAATTTATTTAACACTTTATTTCAGAACTGTCTATGTGAGATCAGTGATATGAACACATTTATAATCAGCTAAATTAAGTAAAGAAATAAAATCTAAATTAATAAACAACCTAACCTCAAGATGTATATTATTCATCTTGTTCTCAGGTGTTACCTTGTATTATTCTTTGATGATTGTTTACACATGTTCCACCTATTTGCATAACAATCACTTAAAGCTTTATGTCAAAATATACCTGCAAATATATTGAACTTAAATAATTTTCTGATGATCAGAAAGGGTTTGTGGAGATTTTTAGAAATTTTCACAGATTTAAATCATGAGTCAGTTGAAGCTAGACCACCATTGGAAACCTGGAAGCACTGGACGGCCGTTTCGTCCTAGTATGGGACTCCTCAGCAGTGCGCATCCACGATCCCGCACCACGCGGGGCTCGAAACCAGGACCTACTGGCTTCGCGCGCGAGCACTTAACCATTAGACCACTGAGCCGGCATCCAACGGTGTTAATGTCTAACTTCAACCAATCCAGCCGGCTCAGTGGTCTAATGGTTAAGTGCTCGCGCGCGAAGCCAGTAGGTCCTGGTTTCGAGCCCCGCGTGGTGCGGGATCGTGGATGCGCACTGCTGAGGAGTCCCATACTAGGACGAAACGGCCGTCCAGTGCTTCCAGGTTTTCAATGGTGGTCTAGCTTCAACTGACTCATGATTTAAATCTGTGAAAATTTTCTAATGAGTTAATTTTTCCATGTTTTAAAATGTACGTAGTTCTTAAATTCTGTCAATGTTGTTCACATTAAAAATCATATTTACTTCTATCTTGAATCAAAACGCCATATAATACAAATTTGTCATCATCTAATGACAAATAATTGTAAATATATAAATAATTACAATTATCGAAATTTCGTCGAATTTTTTTAACTTGGTTGTGCTCATAAATTATGAATACGTACAACCATTTAATTGATATAGACAATGAATTCAATACTAGACTGATAGGTCCTGAGTTATCATCTCATGAGGAGGGATCGTGGATGCGCAATGCTGATTAGTCCCACAATAGGACGAAACGGCCGTCCACTGCTTCCAGGTTTTCCATGGTGGTCTAGCTTTGATTGACTCATGATTTCAACTATTGAAATTACTATAATATCCACAAAATTCGCTTCTGATATTAAAATATAATAGTTTGAAAATTACTTGGTAGTCGTAATAAAAATAAATTTTATCACATTAATTACATACCCGCTTAGTACACCAAGAACAAGATTCATAACGAAAAATGAACCAAGTAGAATAAGGGTTACAAAATAAATCCAAGGCCACCAGGAACCAATAGCATCAGACACCTATCAAATTAATTTTACAATAGATTAAGATAATTTAGCTATAGAACAATAATTCAAATACAGCATGAATACTTCATTTATAATAATCATTTGAACTTGTCTTATTAATGATAAAAAACAAATATTATAATTTTATGAAAAATAAATTAAATAATTTGCTTCCGATTTCTCATCAACCTGATTATACTTTTACTGTGTACTCCAAAATGTTTTTTTTCTCGAAGTTACACAATACTTAAGAAACATAATTATATTATTCTATATCACAAAATAACAGAACAAACTATTCATTAAATGATTCTATCTGATTGTCATTCGTATTAAGCATGAGAAAATATTCAACTTACATAATACCCAGTACTAGTCCAACCTTCCATTGTAATACACACAAAAACAGTTAGCATAGAGTATAGAAAATTATCAAAGCTAACGATACCACCTTCAGGACCAGTGTATCGTTCTCCTTCTTTGCCATACATATCTGCACAAAAATAATCTGGCCCAAGTTCACTGCATTTAAATCCCATTGATGATGTTTCAAATGTACATGGTCGAGGATTAGGCATCATCTCAGCTACAGGAATTTGTTGCACAAAAATTCTCATAAAAAACTCGAAATATATAATTTGTTTAATTAAAATAAATCATTTACAATCAGAAATAATGTGACTAGGTTTTACCACTCTACCTGAAAACACCAATGCAAAAACTCAAGATTAGCAAATGTCAGAGTATTGGTAAACATGAATTTATTCGAATTATTCAATTTTTGATTACCTGAAGAGTAACTTGATTCAAAATAGTTAATTATCTTCAAAAACCCTTAATTGTCTGTATTTATTTTGTATACATTACATGACACAGATAAAAAGTACTTCTTTAATATACTTTCACTTGCGAATAGGTAAACCCTAGTTAAATGATAAAGTATATCGATATTAAACTACACAATGTTGGACACCTACTTAAATCACGTCATACAGTCCTCAAGTAGTAACCTTTGTCTCGTTTTTCTAGTCCCCTGTGTTGACTTAATTTTGTGAATCGATTTGAAATGTAGTCACTTGTCCCAGTGATTAAACGCTAGACGTACTACATTTTGGCGTTATGGTCTGGAGATGAAAGAAGTATTCTATGTAGCGTCTAATAATACTAAATGTTTCATATTTAACACCATATGCTGATATATTGTAAAGGATTTTAACTTTCATTCCGAAACTAAAGAATCTTAGCAAAAAGTAAAACTTATGGTGACTTCTTTTCATATTTCTCAACGCGGTTTTACTCACTAAATAATGTGTATTTTGGGTGTTTATATTCATAAACTTTGATGCGAAAACCACTGTATTATCACCACTTGGCTTCAGTAGTATTTGTGTCACAAAAGGTTTTGAACTTTGCATGAAAACTAACGGGCAAATAATACACAGACTAGATATGACTTGTTGCTTAAAACAAGTGTAAAAGAGTGGAGCGTACAGTATTATTCACACATTTTAAAAATACGTGACCTAAAAAGACGACTAAACCGTTCAATACTGACATATCTGATTACATGGATGATATTTGTGTTTATTTCTTAAGAGGAACTCACGAATTTTATGTGTTGAATTTTTATAACAGGTTAGGTGTAATTTGCTCTGAAATAATTCAAGGCCAACAATTGCATAAACAATAATGACAAAAATCACAAGCAGTGCAATATGCAACAATGGAACCATGGCGGTAATGATAGAGTTTAGCACAACCTGAAGGCCTGAATAAAATTAATGGGAATTAAAATGTTATTAGATACGGTAAATATAATTGAAAATCAGAAAGAAAAATACAGTGGTTTTGCGACTAAAAGGAATTAACTATGAAACAACACAAATTATTTGTAAACAAAACAAAACTAGTTAGATATTGTTCGATGAAAATTTCACAGTAAGATCATTTCAGAAGAACATTATCATTTCAGTGAAATTCGTATACCTTCCAGTAGACCGAACTACATACAAATTGAGACTTGTAAAATCTTTAGACATTCTTATCTAACATAGCTCTGTTGTTAAACGAATTTCTATAAAATTATCCAGTGTGAAACAGAACTATTATGTTTAAAAATGAGATTGAAATATTTTAAGCTTGAAACGTTACTGTCTTAATAAGTCAAACATCATTTGCGATTGTCCGGAAGTATAATAGAAGTTTTAAAGCTCTTGGTAACGTTTAATTTTCAAAAATTTCATATATATGCTAGATTAATCACTTACTAGGTAAACCAGAAAGTAGTCTCAACGGTCGTAACACTCGAAATGCTCGAAGGGCTTTTACATCGATGTTCATATTTTCCAATGCTTTTGATGATAAACTAAAAGAATAAAATAGTCGATAAATTATTGTTACTACATCTTTTTTCCGTAGAAAACTATAAACGAACCTGCTAAACTTGAGTACATTATTCAGAACATTTTATTAAGTAATGAGTTCCTTTGATTTATTACAAGTAGCACGGTAGCTTTAGATTCACTTCAATTAAAAACAGTTCAACTTGGCCTTTAAAACGTAAGTATATCATGAAATGCATGAATATATTTGTAGATCATTTTGTAGTAAGACCCTAGAGAAAAATTATCAAGACTGTCATTTGGGCACCGATCTATAAATTTCATGATGTACTTCAGAATATATATATATAATTTCTGTTAATAACTTTAACCAGGTATAACTCAAAGTACATTTAAGCCTTTCTTCGTTAAAATATTTTAAATTCCAATTAGAAACTTAAATTACTTGATTGTTAAATAAAATTTTGTTGAATATATGGGAAAATGAGTGAAAAACATCGAACACTGAAGACTATTTCATGATGGACTGTTATGCAGATTTTTACTGTGCATTTGTTTACCATTTAGATTTTGAAATTTTTATAATTTCTTAATTTTATACTTTCATTTAACTCATTAAAACTGTTGATATATGTTTTAATGGACGTTAATTATTGTTAGTTGATTATTCACCTATTACTCAGCTCCGCATCATAGATGAAATAGTTATCTACAAATTATGATTTCTCGTTTGTCGTGTCCAGTGGTCTCGTAAATGATGCACATTATTATGTTAGTTTTTGATTTTCAATTTAGAACAGATTTATGCTCTTTGTATGAGATTTCTTTCAATAATATCTTTTTAAAACTAAGAAGGACTTTTAACATGACCATAAATGTTCTACAAAATAAGAAAAACCAATTAAATCAGGATAAACTGCTAACATACCCAATTAAGACTATACTGAAATCTAGGACATTCCAAAAATTCCTTAAATAAGCATCTTGATGAAGGACAAATCCATAGGCAATAATTTTTAGAGCGGATTCAGTTGTAAAAATTATAACAAATGCAAGTTCAATTTTTTCCTACAAAAAAAGTGAAATATAAGAGTCCGTTTATACAAATAAATCCTCTAGACATGCTTAAAAACGAATGTTGGGGTTATATTTAAGGGGTGTTTTAGACGTCTAGTAGTTACATCGAATCTCTAAAAGTATAATCATCGGAAAATTTTCTTAAGTGAATAGTTAATAACTATACGTGTTCAAGGAAAACTGAAAATCAGATACGCTATGTGAAAGTAACATAGTAAGCTTCAGTTTGAAACTGTTTATACATAATATAATTCAATAATACGAAAAGATTATAGTATTGATAATAACAATCGCTTTCCTTATAGCTAGATGCTTGGTCACATACAACACATAACTACCAATTCAGAAGAAATTTTAATCTTATATCCATTTTATTTATGTATTTTTGACTTCACTTGTTTTTATCCTGTGATTTATTAGAACTCCAATATGGTTGCATTTCATTTCTTCAAAGTACGAAAGAGAAGTGAAGTACTGTAAATCACCGTGATAGCTTGAATTTTGTATGGATCAGCCCATGCAATATGTTGCAAAAGAGTGTAGTTATTATATGTGATTAATCAAACCAAATAAGTCCGAAAAATATGAAAATTATTTGCGATCCTTACAAAGTTTGAAAACGTTAACCTAAAATTTTGAGCAAACCGAATCATATATTAGTATTATAATACATTATTTCATTCATGTGACTCGAAAATAATTAGTGGTTAAACTGTTTTCAAATAGACGTCTTTCTGAGAGAGAGGGAGAGAGAGAGTGTGACATGTTCGCTTATTTCACCAATAATAATATAGTGATTCGATCGTTTCATATTTAGGCACATAGACGAAAAAATAAACTATGGTATGATGAAAACTTATTTGTAACTTAGTTACAATTTCAAAGTACACTGATGACAATTAAACCACTCATGTACATTTCGGCAGTTTAAAACTTAGATATTTCCAACAGTCTCAATAACAAAATGAAGACCGCTACTTCAGAACAGTTATAATTAATACTTATCGTTCACTTTGCTTATCCGGATAAACAGGCGATACTATGCTGTTTTCTTTATATGCATATAAAAAACCGGCACTTACCATAACTTGGAAGTTAAAAATCAAATTACATGCTTGTAACAACCAAAACCATATTACAATTTAAAAAAAACCATACTTACCAAAACCTGATTTACGGCATTCGAATCTTCTCCAGGATAAGGATGATTGAATGCCAGTGCCAAACAGTTACATAATATCGTTGCCAATATAAAATATTCAAATGGTCTAACCAATATATATTATTAAGAAGCATAGTCTTACATATAAACATATATATATATATATATATATATATATATATATATATATATATATATATATATATATATATATATATATAAGTAGTTTGGTGAGGACCATTTTAATTTCCAAAAGGTGTCTGTCAATAGTCGATCTCAGTACCATCGGAAACCAAAGAGTACTGGACAGCTACTTCGTTTTAATATGAAACCCCTCAGTATTCAATACTTATGACCCTAGAGGGATCAAATCAATAATATTAAAGTCTCTCATTTCATTTACGATCATCAGAACCAGTGTTTCAGATTTACAACTTCAGCTAATTCGTGAAACAGCCCAAATTATTTTCATTACAAATTGGCTGGTGACGTAAATGTGTATAAACAAACTGCAATGTAGTGTTTCTATTGCTTAATCATTCACCATGAAAAACTCAAAGATCTTGGATAAGCACCTATGGCGAATCCCATACTCAAACGAAGCAGCTCTACAGCCTGCCTAGTTTTCAATGGTGTTAAGATTGATCGATAAAGAATACGTTCTACACATCCTAACTCTTAATTACTAAGTATTTTAAGCGTCTCTTAAAAATCCTTAATCACAAAAAGAATGTAATCGAACCTTTAGTATTTAAGAAATTAACTAGGTTGTCGATCACTGTTAAATTAAATGTTTAAATCTATTCATTGTTGGGCAATTAATTTGCTAAGTTTACCTCAGTCGTTCTTTACAAGAAATTTAATTTGGTAAAACATCTATGCTATCCAGTTCAAATGCATTCATGAAGGACATTTTTAAAATCATTTAATATATCAATTAAATAAAATTCACACTTTGATTTTAATTATAGACAGACGGATATATATAATAAATGTTATGACTTATCACTTGGGAGATTATTGTTTCTTTGGAGTTTGGAAAATACTACTAAAGAATACTTGAACCTAGTGATTTGCAAAAAGCAGTGTAATATATTTAATTACATAGATTTTGAATTAAAAGTTTGTTTAGAGAAAATAGAAAAAATTAGATTATATCTGTCATGAAATCTAAAGCATCCGATATCTGAGCTAACTGATCATTATTATTATTTTGTCTAGTCAACAAAATCATTTACTTAAGCTGTACATTTGCATTTATTGTTGTTTTATAAATAACTAAGTATACAGGAAGATAGAAGAGATTGCACCACAAAATGCTTCAAGATTCAAAATATTAAATAGAGGTTGCATCCAAAAGTGAATTATCGCTGAATTTCCTTTATTTTTATTTAATGACACAATGTGTTAATTTAATTATTTTGTCTAGTTCCTAATACCTATCAAGTTTAAATATGATTTGTTTACTGCAGTCTTAGAAGACATTAGTGTTTATCTGAATATTTTGGTGGTATCTCCTCTCAGTTTGATTAAAATGTGTTCGAATCCTTTACGGAAGTATCACATACAACAAGATTGTAAATGTACCTTGATTTATTAAAACTAACTAGCATGAAACCTAGTGTATTAAGCCTAGTCTCTAACCAGGTATCATTTCTAATACCATTTATTTCTTAACTAAACAGAATGGTTTTTGTTTTTCTACAGAATATAATTAGAGCACTGAAATTAATCGGATTCATTTCTTTGAAATTCAAAGTTAATAAATAGAAATTGTAGAAGATTGTGTAATCTAAGCATTATGATATTCTACGTTATATTTGAACTTTATAATTAAGACTCAGTACAACTGCAGTTGAAAACACATCTACCTTTGTGTTAGTGAAAATATTGTCTTATTAACTTGCTTATTTTTCATCATCTGATTTGCAGATCACCAGTTACATATAGCACATTGTAGTATGAAAATATTTCACAACTTCAGTGTTGCCACAATTCTTAACATGAAGATTGTAACTTGTTTGCATGTATGAAATAACAAGGGAAACGAACATAATTTCGATTCCTTTATTTTTGATTCAGTGTTTTGTTTATAAATTCATGTTTGTATTGGTTGCTTTAGTCTTCCTACTGATGTTTAAGACTGTAACTGATCCGTTTCTTATTGGCATATGTTCACCATTAACAGAACGCCTTGATATTACCATAAATCACATGCATTGTAAGCAAAGACGGATGGTGGCTAGCAGTGGAATCTAGGACGCGATGGCGTTTGAAGCAAACAATACCGGGCTTGAGTCCCGGAGTGAATATCAAATATGAGATGCAGGTAAGCCCAGCTAACGACTTCTGAATTGGACGAAACGCTTTTCCTGGATTCCACTGCTAGTCACCATTCATCACTGATTTCATTCATAAATTTTCTGAATAAGAATTTGAAGAATAAATTTTTCCATAATTTGGAAGATGTCACGTATTCCATCTTCACTTAAAAAATGTATTTTTCAACATCGATCAGTGCATAGGCCTGTTTGCATTTTATGTATCCCAGTAGTAAATTCCTATTGGCTTACTATAATACAAAATCTTGTTATCTCCAAACATACCTAAATGGTTTGTGTCCATAATTGCCTGGCCACAATCGTTGTTTGTAAAAATCGATTTGAAAGGAAACATGATTGAATTTGTTCACATGTGTTTAGTTCAGTAAGTGTAGATCACAATAATATACATATATGTATATACCAGTACAATTAGATAAGCACACAGGCACATATTTTTAACAACCTCACCTTGTGTTATACATTCTGTGCACCATGGGTAAAAGAATTATTTCCATTCACCATACAAGATTATTGATTTATTATAAAAAAATAGAATGAAATAAGCTTTAATTTTACAAGACAATAATAATGACTTGGATTAACAAAATATTAAAAATCTCTGATCCTAAGAAGTCTAGATAATCCTAAACAGAAAATCGATTAATAGGATATTTGATCAAAAAAGTAAAATGAAACTATTTTGTCTGGCGTAAAAGACTTTCAATAAATATATTGATTACTGTAGAATCTTTCTGCAACTAAATTATAAACAATTATTTATACCTGAATAACTAAACAATGTGCAGTTAGGCTCCAGACAAACTGACACATTTTTATTCAAAAGGGTGTTTATGTGTATTTGTTCACATGCGGAAAATCCAACAAACAACTCCAAAATAAAGCTTTTCAAAACACAAAATAAGGAGTAAACTAGCTGACAAGATAATCACCAACACTGAATAGTCATACGCTGATTATAGCGTAGTACATATTCAACTGATTGAAGTAAAGTGGTTATGTCAATTTGTCAAATAATTAAACCTACAAATCACATTATCCAAATTATTCAAAATTAGAAAGCAAAAGTCTTTAGATACCATGAGCTTAGACCAGTTGATTGCGAAAAGGCAAGGTTCATCAAAGCTCAACTCTTTCTCGACTACCTCTGAACTATTTATGCCCTAGTAAAACCGTAAGAAAAATACAATTTACACTACACTGGTTGAAAAAACTCTATTAACATCGTGACCAACGAGTTACCTAATGAGTGAATTCTGATTAAGCTGTGGGACATGGTTCGTTTTATTCAACATGAAACTGTCGTTGTACCTAGAACTGATAATTTATTACATAAAGTTATTTGAATATAACTAAATAGATGAGCAAAGTAAAACTATAACAAGCTTATAAAATCTTGGTGTATTCGAACTGTGACCACACTGGAATCCAGGAAGCGCATTTCATCCCACTTGATACTCGTCAACTGCATACATCTGAATCCTAGTGGTCATAATTACAATCACACTTGAACCTACTACCTATATGTTTAAAACTGATCGTATTATCTACTGACCTTCTAAGTCGAGATGTCTGTAACAAAACGTAATAATCAGGCATCCATAGAGGATGCGATTGTGCCAAGAAAGACTGACAAGATTTCAGTCCTGAAAATCAATAATGGTATAATGCAATCCTCTGCGAATAAATTTATAAAGTTGGAATAATTTATTAGTTTCAACGATAATCTTTTTCATTTCAAACTGAATTCAGTGTTATTATATAATATGCATGGTAGATGTATACCAACAAGAAGCTATACAGTCTATATAACATTTAATATATAAATAAGCTAAAGACAAGTCCTTTTACATCTATTGAGAACAAGTGTATGAATTAAACTGTAATCATAAATCTACAACTTGAAATGAGTTTTGTGTGATCCCATAATATAATATCAGCATTGAAATACACAATTAATACAATAACAATTTATCACTTATTCATGTCTTGTTGAAATTATATTCAACCAATATCCATTTACTGGTAAGATATGATGATATTGATCAAACACCTTTATAAAATCCAGTAAATTCTCCATATATTTAACGAGCAAAAATACAGATTGAAAAGTTACTTGGTAATGTGAAAGATTATCCTAAATACTGTGATGAGTAATTCTAAATGCATGGTAGAATTGAAACAAGTAGAGCATTCTCATATCAAGGTAGAATATGGTAGTGTTCCTGTTAATGAATACACAAAATCGTAGTTATTAGGACCTTTTTTCCAAATTTACATTGTCACTGGAGAAATTCATGATTTTTAAACCAAATAGACACTGGTACATAAAAAGAGTTCATCTGTTAGCATTAACGGCGACAGAAGACAAATTTCACAACCATATATCTCGGTTATTTGGATAAGAAAAACCATACTTAATCCATTAAACAAATTCAAATCTACTAAAACAAAGGATACCGTGCATCCACTATACATATACAAACTCTTCTAAGAGGATTTTTCTTTGTCATCAAACATAATGAACGATCTGTTCGAAATTGAGGACAAAGCTTTTTCTTCTTCACCTCACCACGTTCTTTAAGAGCAGCAAGCGCTAAATCAGCTATGAGGGGTTTGTTGCTTTGTAGAAATGCATTTCCTCCTGAACCTGGAGTGCCCCAAGGATTTTGCCCAGGTGTTGGGATCATGTTAGTGAAAGTTTAAAGCTCCAATTTCAAGTTGACCCTACGCAAAAGGCAGATAATATAGAAATGTAAGAAACTTTTCATAAGATTTTCATTTAAGTTAACAGAATAGAAATACTTGTATACGTTAGTAAATATAACACGATGATAAGCCTTTATTACGTAACATGAACATAACTAAACTTCGTTAAATAATCTAATTTTGTATGTCTATGTTTCACCCATGGTAAAACAGTTCAATAAAAAATAACGAATAGATCATTTAAATGGAAGACGATGATAATCGATTTCATACTAAAATATTAAAAAAACATATAGTATTACTTAAACAGTGATTTGTAGGAATTTATTCAGGCTTACCCAAATAGGTTAGTAAATTATTAATTAAGCTAGTTATCTGCAGATTAGACTAATCGAATAATTTCCCTCTAGAGATGCAAAGTATTCTGTGAGGAAACACAAAGTAGAATATAGATTTTCTCTCTCATTTCAGTCTAAACAAACAGTTACGTAAAAAAGGTCGAATACATCAAAAAATTTCGTTTGTAATTAAGAATTTACACGTCGGCATTTAATCACTTCAGTGTATGGTGCACTAAAAGATAGAAACTAGAATACGGCAGCTGTCCAGGTCACGTTAGGTTATAGCGGTTCTTCTAGCGAAATCACCTTTGTACGTGAACTTTTAAAAAACGTTTTGGTCGACTGTGAGTGAAAAAGATTGCTTTAATTAATTAGAGCTCAAAAGTCAATTGTTCAGATCATTCTGTCACTGGATACTGAACAACATTCAATTTATAATAATCATATACAACAAGAAACACTAAACTACTTCCAAGCACATTGAATTTTAAAATTTTGGATTTACACTGACAATCGGTCATCATTACTCTCCACAGGTTACAACAAGAAGTAAAAACTCGAATGATTTGCAAGAGGGAAAATCTGGCGAGTCTTTTTATTTAAGTGGTAAATAGAATTGGGATAGATAATTATGTTACTTATTTTTATTTGCAGTTAAACATGTAGACAAAGGTAAATACAATGTTAGATTAAAACAAAGAAATACACGATCTGTCGGGTAATTAAATGTTCACCACTTCGGGAAATTGTGATTAAAGAATAGATGTTATCTGATGAATCTGAAAAGTGGAAAATCAGTAAGTGATGACCGCTTTTAATTGTTAGAATTTTCTCAAAGAAACTGAAATACTGAAATCCGAAACGATACATTACTTCGAGAATCAGAATTATATTTAATTTTTGTCATTCGACATTATTCGTAGTATCATTTAAGTACCAATGATGGCCTGCTTTCTTATTGATCTTTATCATTCACTTGAAGACTTTATGGTAGTTACTTCTTAAAATTTTACGCAGATCTGTAACTTTACAACCCAGGTTTTCCTAACCGTTCGTGTTATAGTTTCAGCTCGCATTTTTATCAGTTTGATTTATCTTTGTCTCTCCACCAATCCTTCTCGTTAAGTTTCTACTTCTCAATTCTTTTAGGTATGACTATTTAAATAGACACACTCTAATGATACACTGCATGGAACTCTTCTTATTTTAGAAAGTGAGTAAGTGGCAAAACCTAGGTTTTACGGAGTTTTTCAAGCCAACTCAAACCTATTGGAGAAATACAGGTATAAGAACCTATTGAAATCTTACGTAATAGACTCCGAATGATATGAATATGAGTCGCTGAACGGAAAGAAATCATGATGAAGCTAATGCATAACAATATCAAACCAATTTTGTAATAAATGGAACCTATTAGAGCTAGAAAAATACATATGCAAAAACGTCCAAGTTGGACGACAAAATTGTTGATAGTCTTCGATAATCCTTAGAACCTTTTACAGCAAAGTTCGCTGACATATCTCTTCAATTTTGGCCACCATACCCTATACTTCATAGCCAACCAATAATAGTTGTTTTAGTTCTTACAGTAATACCTCTACAGCCTCAAACGAAAACCCTCCTCGAAGAATAAAGATACACTGTAGTCTATTCTTGATGTTTGAAAATAGTATCCCAATCCCTGTACCGATGATACTCCTAATAGGCTTGAAACAAATACTTTATGACAATAAAAGTGTACGATAAAGATAAAAATAATCGTATTATTCGTATTTATCTGAATATCGTCAGTTGGTAGAGTCCTCACAAAATTATTTCGCACTTTATACGCACTAAAATAAGAGGTCATTCCTAATCATTAATGCGGAATATTCTTTGTACTCAACTCTAATAATAACACTGTCTTGCCTGATTAAAGAACATATTTGTGGACAAAGTTCAACGTGGGACAATTTAAGCTTTTTGTGGTGTAGATCAACCAGATATACGTTATTCCATACAACCAGTTGAGTGTTTTGTCACACTCCAATGTTAAGTTAGACGTCTGTTCAATTTTGTGGATATTACATTAATTCATCTAGTTTAAACACAGAAATTATGATGAGCTGAAAACAAGTGAACATCTCTATCATTTGAAGGTCCTTTTCTTTGTATCAATTTTTGCTTATAATATCGACATGGTGCAAGTACTAATGCGACTTGTCAGCGATTTCAGTTTTGTGAAAAACTATATTCTGCAAATTGTTTCTACACTAAATCATCGTATCCATCAACATGGCTAAAAATAGCACACAGCAGCTAACGATAAAATAAATTTAAAACAAAATCAAGCACTTGCTATAAGCCTTTAGCAAAGTTGTTGTTGAAGAAAGATAGGGTGTGTAAGTGGTTAGCACTGAATACTGTTAAATAAAAGTATTATATTGACGTCAGCAGCATGCTAGTTATCCTTTATTTTTAATCCACTCCGTGTACCTTTAATGCACAGAGTTACGTTCAGCATCATCAATTGACAAATCAATCGTCGTTCCTTTCTATTCATTTTCTGTCTTCAAAGAATTACCATATCAGTATGATTTACTGCCTGTGCTTAAACCAAGTAATCAATATCAATATTCTTTAAAGTTGGAAAGTACAACAAAATCATCAGTCTGCTGTCAAACTTTAGAATTGATTTCATTAATTACAGCTTAGGATCAAAAACTGCAATACATCAGAAGCGTGTCATCATTCGGGTCAACTTAACTGACAATATTTTCCTACAGTTTGACGGCGAAATGGTCTGAAATACCTTTTTTAGTAACATCAATTAACACTTCACTAGCCTGAAATTTTTATTAGATGATTTAATACAAACTAATTTACGGAAAACCATAAAAAGATAAGATAATTGATGCTCAGCAGGTATTGTAATCCACTTTGTAGGCTTTTTCAAGGTACAGCAACGAGAAACCACAACTGAATATCGAAAGTCTAAGGTGTTACATAAGCTTATCATAAAAACTATTGCAATGAAGTCCCAAGTTAAGATATAAATCATTTGTATACTCAGCCTACACTTCCTTTATTGTTACTACTAAGTGTATAGCTATAATAATGACATTAAACTCACCGTAACGCGTTTTTAAATCCAAATACACATGTACGTTGTGAATATAAAGTCTGGAATTTAGCTCGGTTAGTTGTTCAAAGACGACCGCAGCGTTCTTCTTTCATACAGACCAGGTCATCGATACCTAAGATTTCAGAAGAATCTCATATCAACTGTGCATTTTGCATAAAACTTTAAAGTGTACCAAGTTGCTTTCAATAGTAGGTATCTGGGAATTCAAGGTATATCTTTAGTCCTAATTTGCTTGGAAAGAAGATTTCAATTTTTATACCTCCACAGTATTATAAAACGATAAATTACATAAATCGATATTAGTCTGGGTAAGCATAAGTACAACAAGTTGCCATATATGAATGAGTTTTAAATCAAATAATTCAATATCTTGGTGATTTTACATATACGAAATAGTGAAATCAGCACCACTTCTCAACCTAAACATACTAGAACCAAACGATAAAATGGTCTGTGACCTCAAGATAAATTCAACCGAAAACCATAGGCTAGTAAGAGGTATTGATAACAAAAACCTTTATGTGGATTTGTTCCATAGTTGAAGAAATCTAAGTACAATTCCCAAGGTACGAGGCAGAGAAAAAATCTCACTGAATTACAAAATGGCGAAAAATGATGTGACGACACGCTAGGAAATCATGTTTCCGTGAAAAAGACAGATAAAACATTCGATAAACAACTCATTTATTTTAAAATTTGAAGAGGGTTTATCGTAGGTGTAATAAACTTCAGAAGGAATGTACGGAGGATAAAGAAAAGATTATCCAAGAAATAAGTGAGAAGAAATAACCCATTAATCATATCTCCTGTTTGAATATAACACTCCGTAGCCACTCCTTTTTGTGTTGCACTGAGAATATTGTCGCCAAGGTATTTTTGTAATTGGATTGCAAATAAGAGTAACGGTTAAAACATAACAATAGTTATTAATATTTGAAATACAAAAAACACATATCATAAAGAAATAAAGTGAAAACAAAAATGTTCCTTTACTTAGGCTGTAACTATACCAAAAAGTCGCCCTCTGGTCCTTAAAATAAAGCAACTACAGTATTTCTGGCGTTTTTTATAAATCATGTTAGGCAGCTTAATCAAAGTACTTGCACAGCCTATTAGTGACAAAAGTTTCAGGACAAGCCCATAGAGTTCACTACATGACCATGAATTCAAAATCTCACATCATAAGTATAAAATATAGTCAATCCAACCAATTTCGTTTGTAATGCGAAAAATAAAATTCTACACACATGATGATTTCACAAACATTCTCTAAGATCATTCATCAATATGAAAACTAGTTTATTAAATCCCTGTTCACGAAAACTCACATTTGTTTTAGAGGTCGCTCTGACAAAATACCTAATATTTTGGGACATTAAAACAAACACGGCAGTTCGAAAAAACGATTGAAAATGACATTTAACATGAGATATGTCAGCCAATAAAACACCTCATTTTTATAAGATGTTTGTACGTAAGTTTATTCCTTTATTGATTCTGTTAGAAGAACCCGAAA